TTCTTGCGGTGGCTCCACTTCCCCATTTGGGCATAGAGCATTCCACTAGCCCTTTCCCCTGCCTCCCATCTCCATACAGCCACAGACTGAGGGATGAGATGAGGACAACTGGCCTGCACGCGGAAGACGTAGGACGGGAAACTATTCTCTGCCTTATTTCACCATCTAACAAAGAAACCCAGAAAAATGGACTCCGAGGCACATGGCCCTATTTCACTTTTTTTTTGTTGTGTTGTATTTGCTGCTGGGTAGGACAGCTTTGCAAAAGCAACCAGATTCCCATTGCTACCAGTTCCAACCATTTCCTCTCACCCTGAGACAGTTATTTGAGCACCACCCCAAAGTGTCTGACAGTACTTTGTTACCCAAACCTGATCACCCCTAGTTTACATTTTTCTGTATTTCTTGGGAGGAAGGGGTCATTTGCTGTCATGGTTTTAATATCTGGAAGAAGGAAAAACAAGAATGAAGTTTAATCTAGTATTTCTGAAAGAAAGGTGATTTCAGAACTCTTCCAAACCAGCAGGAAAGACAGGGGAGATAGCCCCAACTTGTCCAAAGAAAGAAGCAAAGAGGAGGAAGGATTAGGAGTTGGAGACTGATGCAGATCAAGAGTTCTAGTCTTTATGAAAATGGAAAGTGTCTATGTCCCTCATTTTTGTAGCTGCACCAACCTTTACCCTCCTAATGGCCCAGGAAGAGCTGGGAGTCTGTATTCCCCAATAGTTCCCCAACCTTAACACAGCTCTCCCACACTTATTAATTCTCCAAGATCCTATTTTTAAACTGGTCCTGCTAATTTTTGCATTCTCTCCGTGCAGGCAAGGAAACCCAGGGTTGGGCTGGGGTTGGGGTTCGGCATGCACAGGAGTTTCTGGCTCCATCTCTCCGTCCCTGGTTGAGCTGGGTTGCACTAATTGACCTCGAGGGTCTCCGCTGTGCTAAGTTGGGTGTTTGTTAGATCTCGTTAAGCTTGTAATTAGTGCAGAGAATCTAGGTCAGAGGGAACTGGTTGGAGTGATGGTCTCAAGGGGCAAAAATACAGGCAGGGAATAGCAAACAGGTTCCACATTCTGTGGGTGGGGTGAGCCAGGGACAGGGAAGGGTGGGACTGGTGTCATGCACTCAGACAAATAGACACATGCAGAAAGGCATTCAAATGTGTGTGTGTGTGTGTGTGTGTGTGTGTGTGGTGTGTTCCCTCCCGTATTTACTCAGATTGCTTTCCAATCTCTCCATATATGGTGTGGCTCTAGACCAAGCTGGGGATTGGCTGCTGTTGTTGGGAGACCGGGAGGTAGGAAGAAAGCAGAGAAAGAAATGAACCAGCAAAGGAAGGGGGTGAGAGGAGGGAGGCAGCTGGAGCCGAGACCTGAGGATGCAGAGTGGGGCTGGGTCTGCTTGCCTGTGAGGTTTAGAAAAAGGAGAGGGTCTTTGGGACTGGATTTTTTTTTGGGGGGGGGAGAATAAGGCAAAATTTACTGCTGGAGAGGGGCTGGAGAGGGGTCAGCGCTCTAGGCTTAGCACAGCATGGCTCCTGAAGGCTGGAGCAGGAGTTAGAGAAACTCGTTGGGCCTCCCCTGCTTTTCTTTTCACCCTGAACAACCCATAACAATGCTGTGGAAATAGGGAAATCGCATGCAAATTGACTCATCAGTTTTCCAGAGCAACACCTCAGGCAGTCTTCCTGATGGAGCAAGGCCTGGACTGTTCCCCAGACCTGTATCTGTCCCCCCAACCACCTCCTTAACATTTAAAGAGGAAGAACAAGAAAAGTTGAGGAAATGCCACTGCAATCTGAAATGGCATGTAGTTCTTTCTCTGTCTCTACCTCTCACCCCGCTTGAACTCTGTGTCCTGGATTTCCTCATCGCCCCATCCTAGGGCCCCCCAAAAGGTTTTCCCTTTTCCAGTTCAACTGTGTAAGAATAGAATATAACAAAGTTGTTGGGAGGAAGGGGGGTGGGGGGTGGGGGGGAGAGAAAGAATAAATATTCATCCTGAAAAATGTCTACTGGCAACTGTATAGTAAGCAAGTTGCCCCCCCCCCCCCCCACACACACATCTACCCATTTACCCCAGAATATGGTGACTCGGAGGAAGTAAAGAAACCACTGCAGGTAAAGACATTGGAGTGAGGAAGGAGAGGTGCTGGGTGTGTGTGTGTGTGTGTGTGAGGGGGCTGGGGGGGAGGCGGGGCTAGAGTGACAGCATTATCGTCCCCAGTCAGAGTGCCCATGCTCACTCCTTGTTAACAGAAATCATGGCAGCACCACCATCAGGGTACACCTGAAGCTATTTTTCTGGCGGGAAGCTTGGCTTTGCGCTCAGCCCTGAAATTCTTTCTGCCTCTGGCCATCAGCACAGTTCCTGGCACTCTCGCCTTGAAGAAGGGGGGGCTCTGGGCAGAGCCTGTGGACTGGATCAGTTCCCGGACTAGAACAAAGTGACAGTGATTAACCCCTGCCCTAGGCCGCATTCCAGTCTACTCCCACCACCTGAGCTGCCTCTTCTAGCCACTGAGTCACGCTGATAGCAGCAGCTGCGGCAGCCACAGCTGCCCCTCACTGAGCGCCAGAGGCCATCTATCAATGGCCAGGCATTGCCCATAGGTTGTCCTTACCCATCCAACAACACCTCTCCATTTGCAGATGAGAACACTGACTCTCGGAAAGCTTGCGCCCTGCCCAGAGCCTCATAACTAAAGTCAGAATTTGAACCCACATCTGTTTGGCTCCAAAATTGGGCTCATTTTGCCACCTTGTGACCTGGTTCTGGTGCCTGAAGACCCCAGGAGCTCAGTGCCCAGCTCTTGGTGGCCTGGGGTCCCCAGTCTTTCTTTTCTGCTTCCCCTCACCTGTCATTCTTCTCTCCAGTGTCTCCTCCATCCTCTAGCTCCCTTGGGAGCCACAGATAATTGACATGTTGAGCTATACATGCCATTCTCGCTTGCGTCTTTTTCTTCATTATGTGGGAGCGACAAAGGAGGAAAGAGGGAAAATAAAATTCATACAAAGATGGAGACTGATGTAAAGAAAGTATCTTTTTCGTTGTGGTTAATCCTCACCTGAGGGTATTTTTTCCATTGATTTTTAGAGTGTGGAAGGGAGGGAGGGAGGGACAGAGAAACATCAACGTGGGACACATCAATTGGTTGCCTCCTGCACCCACCCCAACTGGCGCTGGGGATTGAACCTGCAACCCAGGTACATGCCCTCGACCGAGAACTGAACTTGCAACCCTTTGGTGGCAGATGCTCTAACCACTGAACATGCCAGTCAGGGCAAAAGTATTTTAACCTAGACGTCCAATGTTTGTGACAAGGGCCTGCTGTCCATGCTTAGAGTTTAGGAGAGTGACGCCTCTTGGAGGACAAAGTCTGGAGACCCAGATTCCCTCACCTGCTGCCCCAGAGGCTCTGGGATGGCTTGTAGGTGGCACTCTGGTGCACGCCTCCCCACTGTAGGCGTACGTTCCCAGGGAAGAGACTAATGTAGAAAACTACAGGTCCGAGCCAGGGAATCATGACTGGGAGCGGCAGGGACTAAAAGCAGAACTCTCTTCCTAGAGATAGTTTAACTTGGAGAGACTCCCCATCTTGCTTACACGGGTTGTGGGAGTGATAATGTCTGAGCAGAACGGGAATCGAAGGGTCTGTGTTTCATCCACAGGTTTTACCTTCTTTCCCTCCTACCTTATCTTCCTGAATGTAGTCGTACTGGGGCAGCCTCATAGCCAGGACCTACCAGCCATTGTCCCCATTTTCGCCCCCTTCTCCCCTCCCATCCCTAGTGAAGCTCTCGATCTTGGCTCTAGTGAGATCTAGGGAAGCAGACCAAGTGCCTTTCAACCCCTCATTTACTCGGTCCATGAGGCTCTGTCCTTCTTTCCAAAAATCGCTCATTTCTCGCCTTCACAATCCTCCTCTGGACCTAAACTCATTACTAAACCTGATCCGAGAAACTTCAGAGGAAAGAGGCAAACAAAATGAAACGAGTTGTGGACCTGCCATAGGCCAGCATGCGAGGGGACTAGCTGGGAGGTGTGAGCACTGAGATGTTTTTCTAAAGTCGGGGCTTGATGAGTGTGGGGCGGAGGTTTAAGGAAGCAGGGGGAGGCTACAGGAAACCTAGCGTGGCCGAAAGAGGAACCTGGGCACAAGTTCGGTTTTCCCCTTCATCCAACCTAGCTTGCATCACAAATCAGTTTCATTCTTAGTCTGGCTTTTCGATTGAGGTCAGCTGGCCCTGGTTCCTCTGTGCTAGGACCCTCTAGTCCAGTGGTTCTCAACCTTCTGGCCCTTTAAATACCGTTCCTCATGTGGTGACCCAACCATAAAATTATTTTCGTTGCTACTTCATAACTGTAATGTTGCTACTGTTATGAATCGTCATGTAAATATCTGATATGCAGGATGGCCTTAGGCGACCCCAGGGAAAGGGTCGTTCGACCGCCAAAGGGGTCACGACCCACAGGTTGAGAACCGCTGCTCTAGTCACATGACCAAACCCATCCCACCACCCACTGTATCTCTGAATCGGTGTTGGGAAGGGTTGTGGGAGAGGCAGGCAGCTCAATCTCAGTCGGGGCTCTCGCTGGGCGTGAGAAGCCAGTGTCTGACAGGGAGGATTTTAATCCCCCGATCCTCTCCGGCCCGGGATAAGTTTCACTTCTCTGTGCGTGGACCGGTGGCTCTGGCTTCCACATCCCTGGAGCTAGGGCTGGGCAGCTAAAATTTCACCCTCAGATTGAAAACTTGCGACCCGCCCTCCAACGTAAAGCCTATACGTGACCTTGGGAGCATATTCCCCCTGTCTCAGAGGGGTGGCGTGTGTGAAAGGATCAGACTGCGCCTTTGTTACCCTCTCTCTGGGCAAAGCTTCCTAATGCTGCCCCAGGGGTCACCCCCTCCTCAAACCTGAGAGGGGGTACGGAAGGGAAGGGGGTTGGGAAGGGAGGGTTGCAGGAGGGCCGGGCATCAGCAAGAGCAACAAGTTTGATTGTGTTTTGTTTCCTTTTTTTAACTGAGGTAAATAAAAAAGCTTTCTCCTGCAACACTTGGAGATCAGAGTCTGTGCCCCCACCCTCCCAAGTTCCAGACCCTGTCCCCTTCCTTCACATGAGGCTCTTCCGGTACTGGCTGTGCGGGGCAGTCTGTCTGAGGTGGGCGTCGGGGGTCTGCAGGTCCATCTGTCTGTAGAGGTCCCTCAGCTCCCTGACCTCCTGCAGCACCCGCTTGGCCTGGCTCCAGTTCGAAGACGCCTCTCCCAGCAGCCGCTCCGTCTTCAGCAGCAGCTGCTCGGACTCAGAATCAGGAGGAGACCGAGGCGGGTCCTTGGCCTTTCGCTTCCCGTCTCCCAGTCCCTGAACCTCCGCCAGCAGCTCCTGAGTCTTCTCCAGTTTCCTTGCTACCAGGTCCTGGATCCGGGACAGCTGCCCCGGGTGTGGGGGGGCGAGGGGTAGGGGCCCCTCGGCCCGCAGCTGGAGGGTGCAGGCTGGGGCCGCGTCCCGCTGAGACAGGATCTCCTCCAAGGAGGCACAGCGGCCTTTCTCTGTGGGGGTCAACTTCTTCGGTGCCTGGGGGGTGTAGGTGGCCCCCTTGCCTGGCTTTTCCCAAGGTCGAGGGGGGCCGCTGGCCCGGTCGGAGGAGGGCGGGATCCGGTCTGAGTCCGCTCTCCGCCGGCTGCCTGCGAGCTGGGCCACCGACTTGTCCAGGTCGACCCGAAAGCTCTCAGCACAAGAGGTCGGTTCCTCAGGGGAGGGGTCTTCCTCCTGGATCAGGTCCAAGGTCAGCATCCCGTCCGAGGTAGAGGTGGAAGCCTGGAGAGGGAGAGGCGGGGAGGGAGGGGTAAGCCATCGTCGGTGGGCATGCCAGGAGCGGCTGCCCCTGCCCGAGAGATGCAAGCTGTGCTCGCTCTTCTCCGCAGCAGCTTCCCTGATGAGAAGCCCTCCCTCCCGGCTGAGCCCTCTGGCTGCTGCTACTTATTCCTTTGACGCTGAGCTGGACTTCGTCCTCTTACTTTTCTGTGATGTAAAGCGGTTTCTCATGCTTGTTTCCCACATTCCCCACTGTGCCAGGAGCTTCCTGCAAAGTGTCGTCTTCCTCTGCATCGTGGACTCCAGGCAGCGCGTTGGGTCTGACGCTCACAGGACCTGCCTCCTCGGAGCCACACCCCAGCCCCTCTGCTACCGGGAACTCAGAACCCCTTGCCTTCCACCCAAACGTGTTCTCCTGTTTCTGGAATACTCTAATTGAGAAAGAAGTGCTAAGTGTATTCAGTGCCTCAGCTGCGTGGATGCAAACGTGGTTTCCCACACAGCAGCCCCTCACGGCAGGCGATTACTGCCCCACTTTACAGGGGGAGACATGCAGCTTCCGGGAACCAGAGAGTGAGCTGATTTGCAAAGCAGGGTTCCCACCCGGGTCTGCCTGACTCCAGAGCCTCCGTTCCTCCTACCTGACTGCCCCTCCTCCTGGATGCAGAGAGAAGCGCCACTTTGTATGTTTCTGGGGGGGTGGGGGGGGTTGTTACTGTGATCCTTCCTCCTCTGAGTCTGCGGAACCTAACGCTGTTACCTGTCAGGACAGCTGGCCACCATATAAGTATAAGATAGTAACTTATACTGCCTTTGTCACTTTCCCCCAAAGGATGATGAATTTATTGAGGACAAGGACTTAGAACTCATAGTAGGTGCTGAACAAATATTTTGAACTGGAGGAGTCAGGCAGGGGGGTGGGGTAGAGGGACTGCCCAGCCTTTGACCTTGGTATCACAAATGCCTCCGGTGGGATCTCTGAGATACGGTCCTAGCTAAGATGGACTGACGCGGAACTGGCCCTTGGGCAATCTGTACTTTCTACGTCTGACATACCACGGCCATGAGGTGTCCCCGAGTCGGTGGGCGGCGGGAGTGTTGGATTTTTGCCCTGTCTCGAGTGGGGTGGGCGAGATAGCTGTCCTCTTCAACCGTGACCTGAAGAGAAGCACTGTGAGGCTATGACTGCTCTTCAGAGAACCTGTCCCAACCCCGCACCCCCTGAGGCCTAAACATGCCTGGGCTTGGAAACAGACCTACCCATGAACTGCTTCTGAGCAGATCTAAGGGCAAGGTTTACTGGATAGGAAGGGGCTCCTCAAGCCAGCCCAAGGCTGGCCCCGGCCTCACAGAGCGGGGAGGGGGAATTAGCTAAAAGACTTAGAGCAGGGGTCCTCAAACTACAGCCTGCGGGCCACATGCAAATACAAATATTGTATTTTTTCCCGTTTTGTTTTTTTACTTCAAAATAAGATATGTGCAGTGTGCATAGGAATTTTTTCATAGTTTTTTTTTTAAACTATAGTCCGGCCCTCCAACGGTCTGAGGGACAGTGAACTGTCCCCCCGTTTAAAAAGTTTGAGGACCCCTGACTTAGAGGGTACAAAGAGAAAAAGGGTTTTCGAAAGGGAGCTGGTGAGGGAGCAAGTAAACGGGGGTCGCCATAACCTTCCTTCTTTTGTGAGCCCCAGCAGCTCCCCCTGCTAGCACCCCTCTCCCCACAATGAGCCCCTGACCTCATCCAAGATGCGGTTCTTGGCCCGGGTGATCGCAGCGTTGAGGGCATTGATCCATGATTCCTTCTCTTCTGGACTCACTGCCAGGAAGATCAGGTTGGGTGCCTGTGAGGGAAGATTCTTGTTTCAGCGAGGGTTTTAGAGGTGGTGTCTCACCTTGACAGTGAAGAAAGAAGAAATTATAGTCTCATTCTCTGAGACCCAGCTCCTGGAAGGAGAGAGAGTCTGCTTCAGAGTCATCCATAACTTAAAGAAACCAGCCTCTATCCCTGCAAAATGCCACAGTTTGCAAGCTGTTTTTAGAAAGGACCAAAGATGAGCTGAGAAGGGTCTTGGATATTAATGTGGAAATAATTCGAGGAGGTTTGCTAAAGGACAGTGCTAAAACAAAGGTTTTTAACTGTTTGAAGAAACAGAATGTGCTAGGAATGGCTTCCCTCAGCCAGGAGACATTAGATTCAGAAATTCAACCACGTATCAGGATACAGGGAAAAGTGATTTTCTCCCAAGCAACGTGCGTGTGTGCCCGCATACGTGCGTATGCAAGGGAGAGGAGGGGGCAGAGAGAGAAAGAAATGACCTTTGTCTGAAGGCTGGCTTGCCTGGAGGGCAAGGAATGGCCATAATATTCTCAGGTTAAATAATAAAAGCTGACAGGAGAGCAGTAATCAGGGCCTCTGAGCCAGGAGGCTGAGGGAGAGATCCTGGAGGGGACAGGTGTTCTCCCCCCCTGCCAGGCCCTGACCTCATCCAAGATGCGATTCTTGGCCCTGGGCGATAGCAGAGTTGAGGGCAGGGTTGTAATGCGTCAAAGGTGTGGAAACCCTGACCTGGTCAGTGTTCCTGTGGCCGTGGTGCAGGAAGAACATACCGTGTTCCCGGGCTGTTTGGAGTGGGCAAGAGTGAACTTGCTATGATTCTTCTTGCTCCTGCTCTTGGATTTCCGGAGCTCTTCACACTTCTCATAGTCACTCAGGTCGAACACCTCCTGGATATTTTTCTCATCTTTCACCTAAGGGGAGGGTCGGAGGCGAGGTGAGGAAGATAAAATGACTTAGTCTCTTCCCCCCACTTGTTAGATCAGCCTTGGGGACAGAGGAAGCCTGAGAGGGAGGAACGACAGGACAGGAAAGGCCTATCCCACAAAAGCCAACAGTGGGGGACAGCGCTGGGGCAGCCACGTCCTGACTCCTCAGTGGGTTTCTGCTCAAACTCCTCCTCCTGACAGTCCTCTGCCAAGCACCCCAGTAGGTCGCCCTTGTCCACGACTCCCACTTTGGACAGGCTTACACAGCTACCAGGTTCATCCTGTCATCCCCACAGAAGCACGGCCCGGAGAGCCCTGGACTGTCCAGCGGGAGGAGGTGAAGGCAGGGCCTACGTCAGAGGGTGTCTGGAGGCCACGAAGGGCTGCCCCTGGCCTCCCCATCTTAGGTTTATGTTGTCCTGTTGTCGCTTTCTTTACCCTACGTGGCTCACTCCCCAACATATGCTATTATAGAGTCATCTACCTCCTTCATTTCAGGAATTGCGTTGTTTGTTCAGGTAAGCTGAAAAATACACCTGTGGCTCCCAACCCTCCTTCCTCCCCTCACCTATTGTGCCAGCCCAACCTAGCTCTTCAGGCTTGAGAAGCCGTTCCAATCCGCCACCTCTCTCTAGGCAGAGCTGCACTTACACTCTCCCTGGAGGACTGAATTCCAGACTTGGAAAAACGTATTCTGCCAGCTCTTCCCAGGATTGCAGTTTGACAGTCCAAGCCCCCGTCCTGCCAGGAAGTTCTTCCTTGTGTCTAAATGTAGCCTTTCCTGTGTGCAGTATCCATCTTGCACCCTGGTTCTACCCTTTGCAGATCTATCCAGCAGTTGGCTCTTAAGTCTCTTGCAAAACGTCTGACCAGAGACCACAATTCTATCGACATCCTGCAACCCTAAACCAGCATTTTCCGAGTTCCACAAAGCAAATTCCATTAGCATTTCTTCCTTTTTAACCCTCTCGGGGTTTGTTCCTCCTGCCCCCTGAGGTGTTTCCCACAGCCCTGGGAGTCAGAAGCTGTGACTCAGGGGTTGTTTGGGCTTGTGAGAGGAGAGGAGACGTTGTTGCAGGCCCAGATGAAGCAACCTGTGATCAGAACCCATTCGCCCTCTGCTGCTGGAGTCTGGGGTCAGCAGACCCTGGCAATGAGCTGGTCCCGGTTTTCTGGGAAGAGAGACCAGCACTTGTCTTGTTAAAACTAAACAAACAGATACAAGTAGCTGCATCTCTTCCTTGGAAGACATCCGCTCTCCTTGACTGGAACTATTTCACAAGAGTGTCCGCTTGTCAAGCTCTGAAACAGGAATTGTGTGTGTGTGGCAGTGACTTCCTCTATCCTCTTGGTTCTCAACAGCCTTGAAGCAGGGAAGTGGCTCTCTCTTCTATCCCCCAGCCCATCTCTGGTCTTGCACCTGCCCATCCTTCTGACTTGCCGCTGGACGCAGGGGGCCGACGTCGGTGACGAGAGCCGATCACACAGCCCGTCAGGTGAGCGGCTGCTCGGACATCCACTCTGTTTCTGCCGGGCTTGGCTCCTCCTGGGCTCTCCCTTTTCTAGGGCGTCCTGGCTTTGAGCTGGGAAGTGGTCAGAGGCCTTGAAGGATTATGGGTAGATGTACACAAGATGCTGGCAAGGAGCATCCAAGAACAATTCCCAGAAACATGGGCAGGGAGGCGGGATAAAGCATCGCTCCTTTTCTCCCCTCCTTCCTCAGAGCTGAGGCTATCAGCAAAGGCCAGAAATCTTGGAGAGGAAAGTGCTGGGTGTGTGTATGTAGCCAGGGGAAGAGAGTTACTTGTTCTGTTTTCCTTAGGGGAAGGAAGGGAAGGGAAGGGAAGGGAGGAGGGAAGGGAAGGGAGGGGGTATTCTGGCTCAGACACCGCTGATAAGGAGCTCTGGAGGGCAGGAGACACATTGACAGAGATGAGCGCTTGGTAGGGTGGGGAGAGGTAGGAGATGGCTGACAGAAGCATTAGGACAAGTATATTCCAGGCCCCGGGAAGATGGACAGCTCCAAGACCCTTGTTCTCCACTGTACTGTTTCTCCCCCCTCTACTTCCCAAAGTCTCATTGATAATTACCCATCTTCCAAACTTAACCCTTCCTTCCCCCCGATTCTTTGTCCTTGGCCCACAGAAAGGGATTTTCCCATGCTCGCCAAAAAAGATGCCCTGAACGGAATTCCCTCCACTACGAGGTCTCTCTCAGGTCTAGTTTCTGCTCCTGTACAGCAGCCCCATGACCACAAGGTGCCCTTTGACTGAAAATGAAAGGGAAAAAATTAACAACAGATAATAGAAGGATTTCTTTGACGGAAACAGCTGTGGGAGTCTCTGCCTTTATGAGGGGAAGAACCAAAAAAGACTGTTGCAAATTCTAGGGGAGGGAGGGAGGAATTTTCTTACATTAACGCATAACTTACAAACATTCTACTTGGCATTTCTTTTTAAAAATCTTGAATCTACTTGTTCTGGAGCTTTTGGGAACCTCTGACAGGTTCACCTTTAATCTAGCCCATTGCAGCATGGAAACTGGCTCCAAAGAAGAGTAATAGCAATCGGCTTGCTCTCCCTTTTCCTAGCTCTTCTCAGGAGGGGGCAGTTGGCCCCATGACCAGTCAGATGCTCCTGACTCACAGGACACCGCACACCCTAGGCTGAGGTCATTCCATCCTTTCCCATCACTGTACCCCTTCCTCCCAAAACAAGGCTCAGCCATGTTCTTTCACCCCCAGACTTTGTTCTTTGGACAAATACAAACAAGAAAAACATCTTGTTCCTTCTGCCCTTTCACTGTCCTCCGGTTCTCTGACGTGTGGGAAGCCCTCCCTGATGGCTCACTACAGTTTCCTGCCATTATGAAGTTCGGGGGCAACAGGAGATACACTTTGACACTTGCTTTTTTTTTTTTTAAACTGGAAAACCCGCTAAATTGTGCAATAACGTTCTGTAGGATTGGAGTTGGGCGGAGGGGACCCTTAAAAATAAATCCTCTTGCCTGGCGGGTGTGGGTCGGTGGTTGTGAGCATCGACCTATGAACCAGGAAGTCACGGTTCGATTCCCAGTCAGGGCACAACCTGGGTTATGGGCTTGATCCCCAGTGTGGCGTGCAGGAGGCAGTCGATCAATGATTCTCTCGTCACTAATGCTTCTCTCTCTCCCTCTCCCTTTCTGAAATCAATAAAAATATTTTAAAAAAAATTCTCTTGTCAAAGTCTTCTCGCACCTCACTCTCTCACCAAGTTCTCAGCTGGCTGTAAGCAGCAGGGTTAGCCACCCGAAGAGGGGTGTCCTTGGCCCCAGCACCCCTTCTTTCTTCCCTAGTTGTCTCAGTGGATGTTCGGTTCAGATGAGTCTCTCTACGGGACCGTGTGTGGCTGTTTCAATACCATAAAAGGACTTATTTACCTAAATATAGTCGACTGCAGAAAGCAGAAGAGGTTAGAACTCAGGGAGGACTTCCCAGTTGGCCCCTGATGAGGGAACACGAAATCGGGGGAGGAAGGGCCATCCTAGCCGGGGAGCCCAGGACAGTCTCCCAGGCTGTGCGGACACAGCCGCGAAGGCAGGGACGGGGGTGCCTCTAACCTGCGGAAGGCAATTTTAGTTTCTCAATATGACTTCGTGTTATTAACCCCAAGAACGAGATATAAAAGGGAGAAGAGTCTGGATTCACTGGTCTTGGCTCAGGTGCTTACCCCGTGTGGGCTGCGGTTTGCACTTTAGCGGTAGGACTGAAGACATAGATACGGGAGTTCATAGCGACAGTGGTCTCCCTTCTGATACAAATGGGGGGGGGGGGGCTGGGAGAGGGTGAAGAATGAGCTCCTTGCTTCTTTTTTTACATGTATTTATTTTTTTAGTGGACTTGGGGCGGGGGGGGGGGGGGGGGGGGGGAACAGCGAGGTATGGTTCATTGGCTTCAACAGAAATAACGGTCCGCCACTCGCAGATGCTCCTCCACCTCCATCGCCTAAGACTGACCCTGGGCTGCGTGTGTGTGTGTGTGTGCGCGCGCGTGTGTGCACGATTCCCGGCAGCTGTGCTGCTCTGACCTGCGTATGTTCCTGCGAGAGACAGGAAAGGGGGGGGGGCAGCGGGGCTGGATGGGGGGACAGGAAGGGGCGGCGGATATGCCGCTGTGCGCAGAGCGTCTGTTTCGGCAGCGACAGCAAAGAGAAGCACCCCCACTTCAGCCAGAGACCAGGGTAGGGCCGGGGACCCGGGGACACGTAGAACTCCTGGGACATCTCGGGGTATCACCGCAGTCAGAGAGACATTTATTCGCCCAGAAAACTCATGAAATGAGATGCATCTCAACTTCTAACTCTGGTCTCTTCGCTAAATCCAGGGTGACCTTTCCCAGAGGAGAGCAGTGGTGGGGAGCGCTGAACTTGCTTTTGGAGCGAAGTGGGGGGCTTGGTAAGGGAAATGAGCAGCAGATAAGGCCCCCCCCCGCTCCCCGAGAGACAAGGTGGGGAAGATGAGGAGACAGGGAGTCGGGGCTAAGGGCACCTACCTCCTTGTCGGAGATGTAGAGCTGGTCCCCTCTCAGCACCACGTAGCGGTTTTTCCAAATCTCCCTGAAAATGCCTTTCCCGCAGAATTTCCGGACCCAGCCGACCTTCTCGGGCGGTGCAGACGGATGGTTTCCCTCCTGAGGCCCCTGCCCGGGGCAGGAGAGGAAGGGCAGTTAGGTGATCACAGCTCTTTCCACTCGGAGCCCCGAGACCCTGCTTTCGGGGGGCCGCCCCGCGGAGGCCGGAGTCCCGGACCCGCGTCCGCTCCCCGCTTCCTTGGAGGTGCTCACTCCGGGGGACTCTCCTCCCCCGTCTCCCACATGAACCGCGAGCGGCGGGAGAGGGGCCTGGGCCGAGGGGCCTCCGAGCGCGCGGGTCCCGCCCCCTCCCCCAGCCGGTCCTCGCGGCGCCGGGTTAGCGGCGTTTATTTTATTTTTCATTGTCTCCCCGCCGCGCAGAGCCCATGCACCCTGCAGCCGGCCCCAGGGGACGCGGGCTGGGGTGGGGCGCATCGCCAAGTGACACCCCCACCCGAGTAAACAAAAGCCCCCTCCCCCGGGAGCAGCGGGCGCGGGGTGCTGGGAACGGGGGCGCGCGGGGCTCACGCCGAGCGCGCGGCCGCTCGCGGCCCCCACGGGCCGGGGTCCCCCGAGCTCCGAGGCGGGCGCGGGGCCGGCGGGCGCACTCACCCTCTTGGAGGAATTGTTCTTCTTCATCATTCCGGGGTGCGGGCCCGGGGCTGGGACCTGGGGCCTCTTCCCGGGGAGGGTGGCGGAGATGCCCCCGGCGCCGCCGCCGCTCCGCCCTCCCTCCCCCTGGCGGACTCGCCTCCTTTGTAGCTCCGGTTACACTCGGGGCCGGCCTCCCCGCTCGCTCGCACACACGCGCACGCCTGCTCCCCGCCCCTCGGCGCCCTCCATCCCGCCGCCCACGCGGACCGGGCCCCCGACCTCCCGCCGGGCCCCGCCGCTCCCCCGGCTCCCCCGGCCCCGCGCGTGGTGGTCGGCCCGGCCCGCGCCCCGCGGTGCCATCCAGCGATCCAGCAGCCGCTGACGTTGCGAGTTCAAAATAAAGGGCGAATCGCGGAGCCCGAGCTGGTGCACTCCCCCGCCTCCCTTTGTTTCTGACTCACTGAGGGGGGTGAAGACAGACCCGAACCCGCCGGGGACCGGGGACCGGACTCGGACTGAATGAAGGGAGAGCGAGAGGTGGGGCCGGGAAAGACAGACCCGCGGACGTGGCGTGGGAGACGGGGCGGCGGACGGAGCGGGGAATGGAGACCGAGAGGCTTGTGGAGACGGGGATCACCCAGATCTAGACCGTCTCCCTCCCAACCCCAAACAAAAACAAGCGCTCCAGCCGGGAGGGCGCGTCACCTGCCGCTGGCTCCGCACATCACACTCCCCGGGGGGTGGAGAGGCCCGGGCAGGTCAGAGGACGGGGAAAAGTTTTATGCTCCATATCCGTGTGCAGGGGCCCGCTGTGGGAGAGTTAATAGCAATCTACACTTCTTCCAGTTTACAAAGCTTCAGGCCTGACGTGAGCCTGGTATTCAGGAGAATAACCCTAAGTCTGTTACGATCTCCAGTGCACACAGGGAAGTGAGAGTCAGAATGGCTGAACGATTTGCAGACACACACTGTAAGTGCCGGGAGGAATATAATGGTCTCTCACGCGTAATCCTGCGTCCGATGGCTTTCACTATACCCGGGGCTCTCTTCCTGCTGCACCCCCCTGGAAAAGTCCCATCCGGTCCCCAGGATGCCCTGCCTGGGACTCCCTCCTTCATCAGATTTGCCTCAGAGCCCACAGACCAACTTCTTAGTAACTTCACGGTTTTCCCAGTACATGGTTAATGGGACGAGGGAGCCGGGAAACCTAGGTTTGGGTACTGTTTTCATCGCTGCTCTGTGGCCTTTGGGCAAGCAGGTGAATTTCTTTAGGCCTCAGTCCCTCCACATATTAAATAGTGAGGGATGAAATGTCATTTCCATCCACCAGGAAAGTCAGGACAATATAAGAGATGACCTGTGAAAGTCCTTTGAACATATAAAGATTGCCCTCTAGGCTACTCATTGAATAACAATAAGCTAACCAGCACATTGCCTGGCATATGGCAGGCACACAATAACCACAAAAATGAATACCAATTCCTGGCACAGAGGAGGGGGGGGGAGGGGGGGGGAAGAACCCTTTACCCAGACAGGTCTCACGATAAAAGTGTTGGCTGCCACATTTGTGGTTTGAGAAGTGGCTAGGTCTTGGCTTTTACTGGTATCTGTCAAATGAAGGAAGGGGCTTCTCTCTTTTCCCAATACTCCCTTATCCTCTAGTCCAATAATATCCCCCTTAACTGCTTTTCATTTACCGTACTAATGAATTCCTCTATATTAGACTGATATAGAAATTTATCCTTTCAAAGTGCTCTTATATGTTATTTCTTTAAATATTTAGTGCTACCTTGTGAGGCATATGGAACAAATAAGGACATGCAAATCAATTGACTTGCCCAAGTTTACACAGCAAGTTACTGGCTAAATGGGTTAAAATCCAGTCTGTGTAGGTTTTGTGTACACACACACACACACACACACACACACACCTCCTTCCTTCCCACCATCCTCTCCCCCTTACCATCATCTCTTTCCCACCTTCTATTTTACAAAGTGATTTTAAAAGAACGGGAAAATCCAGGAGATCATCATAAATGAAGAAGCAACATACCCCAGTGATCTGGTGAGAAAATGAACCTGCATGATCTTTGGAGGGCTTGGATATAAGGGGTTTGGATTTAGAGTTTGAATAGATTCTGGTTTATGGGGGGAACGTAATTCATGACTTGCCCTATCTTCTTATTTGCCCTCATTTTAGTCAACTAATATTTGAGTGCCTCCTATCTGTGAGGCCCGCAGGTCCTGGGATGCTGCCTAAGACAGGAGCGGGAGCTTTGTGGAACATGAGCCAGAGAGAGGGGCGGCCAAAATATCAACACCCTCCCGAGTCATTTTCAGATTCCAGAGCAGATGCATGTGGGCTGGAGAGCCTTCCCTGCCTATCTGCTCCTTAAGATGTTACATAAATCTGCTCTCTCTCTCTCTCTGTCTCTCTCATTAACCTGCATTGCTGCCTCATTATTCTGCCCCTACCTTCCCTTACTCTGTGTCCCTTTGTCCTGTTACTCATCCCTCTTTCCATACTCCATACCCTTCTCTGAACTGTTCTTCAAGCTGACTTCTCTCTCACCAGGTAAACCTCATGGCCCCTGAATTGGGATCTATAAATTGCGACTGTTTCCAAAGACCAATTCTTAAGAGAGAAATCTCAGAGAAAGAATTTATGGGTTCCTTTACGCATATCCATAGCACCGTCTCCTCAGTGAGCTCAGCACTACCACACACACAGCCCACAAAAATAACTCAAGCCAATTTCTCTTCAGTGGAGATAAGATACTGGGAGGACTTGCGATGGGGTTACCTCCCTAACTGCAACACCATGAATAAGACACAACTCCCAGCAGCTTTATTCTTCAATTGACTATTGTATAAGTAACTCCACATAAGGGAGGGAGAAGGGAGCTATCCGAGATAAGGACTTGTGAATTGCTGCCCGCAAATTTATTATCAAAGCAGTTGTTTAGATAAAACAAGTACCTTGGCTTTTGTAGGATACTAGTAAATGGGACACAGGGGTTTTGACTATGGAAGAGAGCTCATTAAAAGCATATAGGACCTTACTGGGCCAGTGTGGCTCAGTGGTTGAGCGTCAACCTATGAACCAGGAGATGACAGTTTGATTCCCGATTCCCCATCAGAGCACATGCCTCGGTTGCTGCCTCAATCCCCAGTAGGGGGTGGAGAGGAGGCAACCGACCAATGATTCTCTCTCATCATTGATGTTTCTATCTCCCTTCCTCTCTGAAATCAATAAAAAATATATTTTAAAAAAGCATGAAGAATTTTTTAAAAGTATCTAAATAAACTGCAACAACAACAAAACAATTTAGATCTTAGCTCTTAGCTATAATATGGACTTTTTTAAAAGCCTAGGGCTTCACAGGAGTGTAAGGTAAAGAAACTGCTAATTGGTGCAGTGGGAGGGTTGTCAACCATTTTGTATGGTGGTTTTGTACCCCCAATTTTGAGAATCTATTGTATTTACTATTAATTTCATTCAGTGTTTAGATGCTCTAAGTGCTTTAAATGTATTACCTCATCTAATCCTTACAATCCTATGAGGAAGGTACTTTATTTATTTATTTACTTTTATTTTTTTAAAATATATTTTATTGATTTTTTAAAAAATATATTTTATTGGCTGAAACCGGTTTGGCTCAGTGGATAGAGTGTTGGTCTGTGGACTGAAGGGTCCCAGGTTCGATTCCGGTCAAGGGCATGTACCTGGGTTGTGGGCGCATCCCCAGTAGGAGATGTGCAGGAGGCAGCTGATCAATGTTTCTAGCTCTCTATCTCTCTTCCTTCCTCTCTGTAAGAAGTCAATAAAGTATATTTAAAAAATATATATATATATATTTTATTGATTTTTTACAGAGAGGAAGGGAGAGAGATAGAGAGCTAGAAACATCGATGAGAGAGAAACATCGATCAGCTGCCTCCTGCACATCCCCCACCGGGGAAGTGCCCGCAACCCAGGCACATGCCCTTGACTGGAATCGAACCTGGGACCCTTCAGTCCGCAGGCCGATGCTCTATCCACTGAGCCAAACCAGTTTCCGCTATTTTATTGATTTTTACAGAGAGGAAGGGAGAGAGATAAGAGCTAGAAACATCGATGAGAGAGAAACATCAATCAGCTGGCTCCAGCACACCCCCTACCAGAATCGAACCCGGGACCCCTCAGTCCGCAGGCCGACACTCCATCCACTGAGCCAAACTGGCCAGGGCAGGAAGGTACATTATTACCCCTGTTTTATATATAAGGAAACTGAGCCACAGACTAAATGACATTCCCAAAGCCACATAACTGTGAATCAGAGTTGAGTGCTGGCTATCTATCTGATGCTTGGGGATGTTTATCAAATAAAGGAAAGGAAAAAAATATAAAAGACTTACAGAGAAGCAGGGAGGGGTTATGCTGTGGTATTTTTGCTGTGGTTTGAGGATGCCATAATTCCTGGCATTAACAGCATCATGTTCCATTGTTTTCAAGAGAAGTGAAATTGACCCCAGAATTTATTATTTGGGTTGACACACTTTAAATATGCTTTGTGTAGAGGCAGCACCTTCTCCATGTTTGGTGTAAAGCGAGCTCATGCCACATCTTATGAATTCCCATACATAGTTATTAACCCCAAAGAAACAAAAACAAATCACTTGTATCTTTTCACAAAATGGCCTTTTATTGCAGTCATACATGGTTTCTCAGTGCCACAGGAAATTGCAATGTAGGGACAATTTTTGGATGGCTCTCTACAAAAACATGATGAGTTTTCAGAAATGACTTGTGCAGGAATGTGGTTAATGAAAACTAAAAGGGGTCAAGAGGAGAGAGAGTGTGCAGCGTGTACACCAAATGATTACTTTTACAAACTCCTCCAAGCTCTCACAACCCTTTTTGTCAAGTAAGATCCAACAAAATTCATCAGAAACAGAAGTGATTGTGCTATTAAATACAAGGAATACATTTATTTATTTGATAAAGAAACCATGAGAAAAGTGGGCTGGGAAGAGCTCAGACTTAATTCGCAACTCGTCACTGGGAGTCTTGGTGTCTGTGCCAACAGTTCAGGAACCAGCAGGCCACCTGGAGATGGGTTATAAGAACGAGCACAAAACCCAAGGCTCTTCTCCGACGCTCCTGGTCGATGGGAGAGCCTGCAGCCAGGCACGCGGGGAAGCCGCGCCATTCTCCTCGCCTCTCCATCGCCGGCTCACCTTCTGCTTGCTGACCTGGAGGTGACTTGAGAGCTCTCCTTGCTCCGGCTGTGCAGCCCAGAAGACAGAACTTCCTCTAGGAAACTGACCAGCAGGTTGGAGGTTACTCAAAGGAAAAAGGAAGGGAGCATCCCCCATGTCTGGTTCCATCTCCCACCGAGTGGCCTACGTCTGTCCATGCCCAACCTCTTTGTTCCCGGAACATGTCATGAGCTTTCGTCCCTTTATGCTTTTGCTCTTATTATATCCAGGTCCAAAAGGATAGACTATCCTTCTCTGTCGGATGAAATCCTTATTATCCTTTAAGGCTGAGGAGCAAAAGTCACCATTTCTGTGAGACCTTCCCAAAGTCCTTCATGCGGAACTAATCGTGCCCATCATGATGATCACTTGGCCCTCGTGCTATGTTAACACTGTATTAATATGAACGAGGTACTCTCCGTATCGTTAGCAAAATAGGGTGGGACTGTTGCTCCTTGGGGTGGAACTAAGACTTGCTCGGCTTGGGTCTCCAGGGCTTAGCACAGCGGCTGACACCTAGTAGGTACTCAATAAAGGTATGCTGAAGAAATGAATTAAAATCGTTACCCATTGGCAAGAGAGCCTGCGTTATGATACGAGTTTTGGGGCAGTATTTTTAAGTGTGTGGGATTCACACTCAGGAGACAGATCTATAGCAGACGGAAGGTTGGAGGAATGACCAGGTATCTTATTATTATCATTGGTTTGTAGTCTTAAACCTGGAAGATTCTGACCTTAGAGGATTTAAATTCTAAACTTGTTTGCAAAAGAAAAACAATGGTGAAGCAGAGGGAACGGAGCAGAAGCTAAATTTATTTATTTCTCTATTGAATGCAGGCACCACCTCTGGCTGGCTTTTTGGCCAGTTGGACTAGAGACGCTTGGAGGTCAGAAAATGACTTTGGGTGAGAATGAAACAGACGTGCTGGGAAACACTAGGAGATCTCTGCTCCGCTTCAGACTCTGTGCAAGTCTAAAGGAAAGGAGTAGCATTCCTGAAATTATACTTACAGATCCTCCTCTGTATCAACAAGACCCCACATTCTTGACTGCAGAGAAAACATAATTTATATTTTCTAAGCCTAATTTTGTTTCCTAGGGCCCTTGTAGCTTTTTAAAAAGTATCTATTTGGGGACTTTGATGAGTCACTGCAGAATGCTTTAACAATTATAGGCGATGAACATATTGCTTTCTGTACCCCAAATTTAGACTATGCTTAAAAACAACAACAAAAATGATTTTCTTTTCCAGGGTTGTTTTAAATCAGTCTCATTTAAAAAAGCAAACTCAAATCCCCTTTTCCTGTCCTGGCCAGTGTAGCTCATTTGGTTGGAGCACCGTCTGTGCATCGAGGGGTTATGGGTTCAATTCTGGTCAGGGCACATACCTGGGTTGCAGGTTCTATGTCTGGTCGAGGCACGTACAGGCAGCAACCAATACTTCTTTCTTTCTCTCCCCCTACCCCCGTACCCCTACCCCGTGTCTCTCTCTCCCCTTCTCCCTTCCTCTCTCTCTAAAATAAAAAAAAAAATTTTCTAAAGAAAGTCCTTTCTCCTGTGGTACTGAAATCCAATTCAATTCCACTCGATTCAATTTAACAAGTGTGTCCTGAGCATCTGTTATGAAGGAGGCACTGAGCTAAGGTGGACGAATGAGCACTGTGGTTGCTGCCTTGAAGGGGCTCTCAGTCAGAGACAGACTCACAACCACGTCCAGTGTGAGGCCTGGTACCATCAGAGACGGCCCAAGAGCTCGCCTGGGGGACCAATGCTATGGCTGGTCGTGGTTTGTGCTGTCATTAAGGGTGTTTTCCCAACAAGATGGAAAGAAGGAAGGTGGGCAGACAAAAGCCCTGATTTTAAAAAGTCAACCTCAGAAAAAAATCTTGCATCACACATGGAAAAACAAGTTTCAGTTTTAAGTCTTTGTAAGGGACTAGAGACTAACACTTATCGGAGTTTAAAAATTTTTTTTTTTTTTAAATATATTTTATTGATTTTTTACAGAGAGGAAGGGAGAGAGAGAGAGAGTTAGAAACATCGATGAGAGAGAAACATTGATCAGCTGCCTCCTGCACATCTCCTACTGGGGATGTGCCCGCAACCCAGGTACATGCCCTTGACTGGAATCGAACCTGGGACCTTTCAGTCCGCAGGCCGATGCTCTATCCACTGAGCCAAGCCGGTTTCGGCGGAGTTTAAAATTTAATTACTAAAGTAATTGAGCTGAACAATGGTGTCCCTAAACAAAGCTCTATATTATAACAAGACAAAATTACATCTTATCTCTTCCTCTTTTCCCACCACACCATATTCCACAGATAGAAATTACATGGAGTTTCTTATTATACTGAAGATACCAAAGGAATCAAGACTCAAATCTGAAGAGTGCTACAGTGAAGAAGAAGACAAAAAAAGAGAATTTCTGAGGAGCAGGAAAATAGAAAAAGACTTTCAGGAAAACAATGAGAAGAAAAACTCAAGATATTTGCTTTAATGGAGTAATGAGGCTTCTAATTACAACCAAATACTTAGCTAGAGATACTGGAATATGGGAGTGGGTAAGTGAAGGAGAGGATAAAACTTTTCATAACTTAAATACTGAAAACTCTCAATTTCCACTCCTTCCAGTTTTCAGAGCCACTATGTTTCATATTTCTTTGTTTTTGCACATAACTATTCCCCCTGCCTAGAAGGCTGCCACATTCCTCTGACACTTTATTAGTGAAACTCTGCATCTTTTATCTCTACACTAGAGGCCCGGTGCATGAAATTCATGCACAGGTAGGGTCCCTAGGCCTGGCTGGCAATCAGGGCTGATCTATAGAGCGACCTGCAGGGTGATCAGGGCCCACGCTCGCACTTGCCTTGGCCTGGTGCTGCCTGCTCACCTGCTCCACCATCCCGCTGTGGTTCTGCTCTTGTCGGGGCCCATCGAGGGCCGGCAGCACCTCCATTGCCACCTGCTGCCAGCACCACGGCGCTGACGCCCGCCACGTTCTGCGTCACTCCCTGGTGGTCAGCGCACATCTAACTCCTGGTAGATTGAACTCCCACCAGTAGGGACAATTTGCATATTAGCCTTTTATTATATAGGATTACCACTCCCTTAAGGAATTCACTTGTCTACATGTCCATTTTTCATTTAAGCCTATGAGTTTTTCCAGGACACAAGCACTACATGGATACATTCTTTTTGTAAAAATTTAAAATAGTACACACAGAGATCAAGTCTTCCTTAATTCTTCTTCTCCCCATTTTCCCCCCAGAGATAACAATTTGCTCAACAAATATTTATTAAATGCCTACTATGTGCCAGACACTGTTTTAGAAGCTGAGAATATACTAATAAAGTAAAAAGAATTCTGCCCTCATGGAATTTATATTCCAATGGGGGAGGAGGGAAGATAAAAAATAAGTAAAATTCTATATAATAAAATGCTAATATGCAAATAGACTGAACGGTGGAACAACCGGTCGCTATGATATGCACTGACCACGAGGGAGCAGACGCTCAATGCAGGAGCTGCCCCCTGGTGGTCAGTGCGCTCCTACAGGGGGAGCACCACTCAGTCAGAAGCCAGGCTCACGGCTGGTGAGTGCAGCTGCAGTGGCGGGAGCCTCTACAGCAGTGCTAAGGACCTCTTGGGGGATGTCTAGATCAGGCCTAAGCTGGCAGGTGGACATCCCCCGAGGGGTCCCAGATTGCAAGAGGGCGCAGGCCTGGCTAAGGGATGCTCCACCCCCCAGTGCACGAATGTTGTGCACTGAGCCTCTAGTACAGTGGTTCTCAACCTTCCTAATGCCGCGACCCTTTAATACAGTTCCTTATGTTGTGGTGACCCCCAACCATAAAATTATTTTCATTGCTATTTCATAACTGTAATTTTGCTACTGTTATGAATTGTAATGTAAATCTGATATGCAGGATGTATTTTCATTGTTACAAATTGAACATAATTAAAGCATAGTGATTAATCACAAAAACAATATGTAATTATATATGGTCTTAGGCAACCCCTGTGAAAGGGTCGTTCGACCCCCAAAGGGGTCGCAACCCACAGGTTGAGAACCACTGCTCTAGAGACGTCTTTATCCCCCCCCCCCCCCCCCCCTCCTTGGACTGGAGCTGGGTGAGATAGAGGCGGTGCTGCCCTAGAGAGCAACAGGGGCTGTGAACACCGTTAATGAAGGGGTTTTAAAGATGGGGGAGAAACAGCATGTTTCTATCCTTGTGTGAATGATCAGATAGAGTGAGGAAAACTGGTTCAGGAGAGAGGAGCAGGTTTGGAGTCACATCTTGGAGTAGGTGCCCAGGGGAAGGGCCGGGTTCTGCTGGAAGCGTTCATCCACTGTGACCCAACGGAAGGCAGAGGGCAGTAGCGGAAGGGGGAGCTGTTGGAGCTCTCTTCTAATGGCGTCTCTTCACAGTTACTGAACATCCTGAGTGGTATCTCCTGGATCTGTGTATTCTCAATATAAACTAGATGTTGAATTAAGGATCTGATGAATGAATACATGGATCAGATTTTTTTTTTAAAGAGGTTAAGACCCCAGCTTAAGTGTCACCTAACTTTTCCTAAATAACTGACAGCAATTTTACCAGGAACAAGGGAGAAGGTTGGCATTCAACATCTATGTCTGAAAACACTCGGGGCGGCTTCGGTAGAGAGATCATCCGGCTCCTCACTGGATTTCTACTTCACTTCCCATTATTTCTCAAGTACGTTGTACCATTTCCTCCCTCCTGTCCTTAACTTTGTTGTTTCCTCAGCCCTGACTGCTTTCTTCCTATGGAAATCCAACGTATTCTTTAAGATCTAGCTCAAACGCTATCTCCTCTGTGTAGCATTTCCTGAATGCTCTGCCAGAATTAATAATTTCTATTTAGGACACATTTTATTTAACTTGCATATATTAACTTGCACATTTTATTTAACTTGCATATTTAACTTGCACCTAAAACCCCCCTAACAACAGAAGAGAGTGAATTTATTAGTCTGAGGGTAGAGTCCAAATTGGTTCACAGCTTACATCTTTCTTTGTGGTCTATTATTTTGTTTTAAAAACTATTTTACTTTTCTATAAAGGAAGCTTTTAAATTTTGAGATAAACATATTTTAAGGTACTTATGAGTTAAATTATTTAATTCTGTCTCTGAAAATCTCTCCAACTAATTGGGGGAGAATGGAGACTCCAAAAGATGTTATCATGTTCATTTTGTGCCTGGATTAAGATATAAAACAGTTCCTTGATTATAAACAATTTCACTGAGGTTCTTTTATCCTATGACACTTTCCTACAAACAATGTAACTGCCTGTTAGGAAATGTGGCTGCTCCATCCCAGTTCCCACCTTAGTACTGGTGCCTGAAAAAACAAAAAGCGAAGCAAAACAAAACAAACACAGCCTTCGGCCCTATTTCCTCTCCCACTGAGAACAGGGAGACAGCAGCCAATAGGATTCTGCATGTACCCAGCACTGTGCGTATAACATTCATTGGGTAGCATGTGAGCAGAAAGGCTTATCCTCATAGTCCACAGGGCAAAAGAGTCATTCCTCGGTGTAAACCGCCTGTGCTACTGGTTACACAGATGTCTGAAAGGAGATTATTGTCTGAGAATAAAGAGCTACAGATGTACTTTCTCACCACTGAAACATCTGAGACCATGGCAATTTGTCAGAGCAACCGCAACTACAGGAATAGAATGGTAACCACCATAAAAAAAATTCAAGAAACAAAGCCCCCAATAACCTAACTGCAGAAAGCCTTGGATGCCAATGACTCTATGCAAGTCTATGAATTATAGAGGCACTGACTCTGGGGGCCTCAAAGGGGAAGTTATAAGTGAGCACAAGTGAAAACTGAGTTACTAAAACTTTTCTCCTCACAGATCATGAACGTCACCTGCTATCTACACAGCAAATCTCATCACTGCCCCACTATATTCCCACTTAGGACACTAATATAACTCTGCTCCTGAATTATGTGAAAGTGAAGTATGGGTGATGACACAGGTACTGATGACGAATATCCAATCTTTTGTACTTTATTGCCCCCAGATGTGTTAATAATGGCAGCAGCAGCAGCAGCAAGTAGCCTTATTGAGTGCTTACCCTGTGCCAGATTCGTCTCCAAGCATTTTTTATATATTCCAAACATCACAATAGGAGCTATTATTGCCTCCATTTTACAGAAAATTGAGGCACAGGGAAATTTGCCTAAGGTCATACACGGAGACACATGGCAAAACTGGAGCCCGTGCTCTGAACTGCTATGGTGCACTGCCTCTTAACCCTTTGCGGTCCAATGTTATTTTTGGAATTCAAACAGTTGGGTCCAAATTAATTGACGGGATTGAATGTTGAACTTTTTAATGTTCTTATTGCTCAACATTGGACTTGCTCCTAGCGCCTGGTCTGTCGAGTCAGCCTCGAGGTTGGACCGAAAAGGGTTAAAAGACTGAAGAGTATAGAAAGGTGATTTATAAATAACATCCCATTCGAGCCAAAGCTCTCATGATAATCTGAGTGGAAGAGCATAGGTCCTGACGGATGCATCAGTCAGCAGGGGAAGGGAATACAGTTTTGGCAGAGGAACAGCAACCCAGGGCTGTGCTGAGGATAATCAACTCGATACTTTACTATTTAATAATCTCAGTGGCATCACATTGTCGACTTAAAAATCTGTAGAACATTTTTTTGTGATCATAAAAAAACATAGGAATGTAGATAATATAGGAAATAAAAAAGTAAATGAGTCACTTCTGTATCACTACACAGCACTTTGGAGCTTCTCCTTCCATTTTTAACTTTGTTTAACCCAACAGAACCTGAAACAAAAATGCAAATGCTGAATTGGGTCTTACAGACTAAAAGGCGTATCCTACAAACGTGTTAAGAGGAGAACATTTTCCTAAAGTGCAATGTTCTGGCTGCAAGAAACAGAAGCCTATTTAAACCAGCGTAAGTGAAAGAAAAAGGTATATTAGATGGAATGACGGTTGGGCTGGGGGTCTGTCACTGAACTAAGGGAAGCAGGAGGTCAGTGCCTCACAGAGCCTGCAACCTGGAGCTGGAGGCTGCTTTGAAACCAGACAGTATCTACCTCTTTGACTCTTTTCTTTGTTTCTGATTCTTATTTATTGGTCTCTTCTTTTAGTTTCACGCTGTTTATCTGGTGTGGTTTTTTTTTTTCTCTGCATTTGAGTTGAAGTAAACTTTTTAAACTAAACTTTTCCATACAAATTGATGATTTTTAAATGTATGGTTATTGTTAAGAATCAGGGGCTATCAATCCCCAGAAGGAAAGTAGGGGAGGGCGGGGGTAAGGGGAAGAGATCAACTGAAGGACTTGTATACATGTATATAAGCCAAACCAATGGACATGGACAACAGGGGGATGGGAGCATGAGTGTGCGGGGCGGGGGGAGGGGGGGGGGCGGGAGGTTGGGCGTTAATGGGGGGGATGAGGACACATTTGTAATACCTTAACTAATAATAATAATAAAAAAGAATCAGGAGCAGCTAACCTCAGTGCTGGCAAGGGCTTGGTGTGAAGGTATAAACTGGTAAAGTTTTCTGGCTAGCACACTGGTCATGTAGCATCTTCAAAGTGTTGCAGCAATTTCATCTCAACATTGCTAGTGGTGCATGAAATCTGAGATCAGCCAAATTTTAGCTTGAATTCCAGTCATATTGCACTTCCTTGCTATATGACCTCAGGCAAATTACATAATTTCTCCATGTTCCAGTTTCTTCATTTGAAAATTGGGATCAAAACAATATCACCTCTTGGATCATGAAGTTTAAATGAGGTAATATATGTAACAAAGCCAGCAGACTGTCTGAAATACAGAATATGCTCAATTATTATTATCATCCCAAGTGAACTGGACAAGTGAACAACTGAACAATTGAACATATGTATAATGTATATGTAAATATATATATATAAATGATGTTTATTACAGCACTATTTGTAAGAGAAAAATGATAAACAATGATTATCAAACAATATCTGTTTTGTCTCAAAATAGCTCTTGGAATACAGAAGGTACTCAATAAGTGTTTGTTGAGTGAACAACAAACTGAGGACTGGTTAAATAAATTGTGGCACAATCAGACAACAGAATACTATTCAGTTATAAACATGACATATATAAGTATCTTCATTGAAAGTACATGAATAGAATATTCCCTTTGATTTAAGATATGTGTGTATACATTAACAGAAAAAGGTCTAAGAGGCTGTACATCAAGATGGTGACATTTCCTATGGTGGGATGACAGCATCTTGGATATTTTTATCATCTTTTTTGCTTAGCTGTATTTAATTTTTTCCCCTACAATGACTATGCATTGATTTTGTAACAAGAACTATTTTTAATTAAAAACTGTATGTTCCAGTGCACAAATAAATTACAATAAGGGGGCATGTATATTTGAATGGGTTAAATTCACTTTCTCAGAAGCACCTGATTATTGGTTTATATACCCATTTTCCCATCAGACATTGATGCTTACAGATCTCGAAAACGTCTCCACCTCCCTAGCACCGTGCACTGAACCTTACATGGAATCACACTCAGTGAACGCTCGCCAGCGACGGGGGATGCGCTCATCACAGCTCTTGACATAGTGCCTAATACTTTGGTTACAGGAGGAAAGTCAACACTCCCCAAATTTCTACAAAGATGGTGATGGTTCCAACAGTTTCAAGACTGATCCCGAAATGCCCATAAGTGAAGAAGAGTCTCCTCCGGATTCCTCTTCCTTTGAAATGCAAATTCTGTCATAGGATCCCAATTTTTCTGTAAATAATTCAGAGATCCTACCAACTCGTGGTTACAGGAGAAGGTCCAAGTTTCTAATGTTACCTCTTTAGGTAGAAATCTATAAGTACCTGTTGATAATATCAATCAGCCCACTCCCAGCTTCAAATGTATTTAGAGAAATCCAAAATTCCAACTGTTTTCTAAGCTCTAAACTGTATTCTCTACAAAAACATTAATGTGACTGACTTTGTAGGAATTGCCTTATTGTAACACTTAGGTATTATCTCAGGCAATGATGAAACTAACAGCTGCCACTAGTTAATCAAGTTAATTTTTACTCAAAGAGCAACACTGTCTTAAATCTCATTCTTAATTATCTTTGGGTGGCAAAAATCTTAAAACTAAATGATTCCTCCCTTTCGTACTATTTTTCTCCTGCTTTGATTTACAGTATTTCCCAGTAGCCAGGAAGCGTCACATACTGGCCACTTGGTAAGAACATTTATAAGTAAGGGACTTCTAAAAAATCATAGCTAGATAAATTCTCCTAAAGTAGTATTTCAACTGAGGGCTTAGGTACCCGGAGACTAGAAACAGACGGTCTGAGTTCAGTTTCAGCTTTACCACTTATTAGCTCTCTATCTTTGGACAAGATACTTAGCTTCTCTATACCTCAGTTTCCTCATCTGAAAAATTAGGTTGATGATAATAATAAAAATATTCACCTTGCTATGAGAATTAAACAAAATTGATTGGGTTAAAGAAGCACTACCCAATAGAAATGTAAAATAAGTCACATATGTGAGCTAAGTAATTTTAATAACCACATTAAAATGGTAAAAATACATAAAATTAATTTAAAAATGTTTTTATTGATTTGAGAGAGAGAGAAAGAGAGAGGGAGAAAGCAGGAGAAGAAGAGAGAGGGAGGGAAGGAGGGAGACAGAGAGAGAAAAACATCGATCAATTGCCTCCTACATTCACCTCAACCAGCTCAATCAGAGTATCAATCCACAACCTGGGCTTGTGCCCTGACCAGATTGAACTGGTGACCTTTCGGTGACTGGATGACGCTCAACCAATTGAGCCACACTGGCCAGGGCCGTAAAATTAATTTAAAAAAATATATATTTTATTGATTTTTTACAGAGAAGAAGAGAGAGGGATAGAGAGTTAGAAACATCGATGAGAGAGAAACATCTATCAGCTGCCTTCTGCACACTCCCCACTGGGTATGTGCCCACAACCAAGGTACATGCTCTTGACCGGAATCAGACCTGGGACCCTTGAGTCTGCAGGCCGATGCTCTATCCACTGAGCCAAACCGGTTAGGGCCGTAAAATTAATTTTAATAGTATATTTAATTTAACCCATTTATCCAAAACATTATCAACTTAAAAAAATTATTAATTATATAATTTTACACTTGGTACTACAGTGTTTTTTAATTTTAAAAAAATATATTTTTATTGATTTCAGAGAGGAAGGGAGAGGGAGAGAGAGAGATAGAAACATCAATGATGAGAATCATTGATCAGCTGCCTCCTGCACGTCCCCTACTGGGGATTGAGCCTGCAACCCAGGCATGTGCCCTTGACTGGAATCAAACCTGGGATCCTTCAGTCCGCAGGCTGACACTCTATCCACTGAACCAAACCAGCTAGGGCTTAATTTTTAATTTTTTATGGATATATAATTCCTAGACAATAAAATTTACCAATTTTAAGTATATCATTTGATGATTCTGATAAAAGTTTACAGTCATTTAACCACTTCCTCAATCACCTGAGCCAGGACTTCTTAAAAATCAAGAAACTAACAAAACCTCAACAGCAGTAAGAGCCATGATGCCAGCCTATATCTTTGAATACATAGTGTCAAATTGCTTTCCAGAAGTTATTATACCAATTTATACATCTACTAGCAATGTCTGAGACTGCCTCACTGCACATTTTATCTTAAGGAAATAATCAGCGATGGGACAAGGGCTTATCAATATACAAAATGTTTTTTGCACCATTACTTATATCAAACAAAATTGTAAATAATATGTGTCCAATAGTAATGGTTAAAGACATTCTTAAAATGAAATTATATAGCCATTAAGATTATTTTAAATAATTAGTAATTACATGGGAAAATGTTCTCAATATAATTCAAAGTGAGAAAAACAAGTACAAAACTGTATAGACACTGAAATCCTAATTATGCCAAAAACATGAAACAAAACTCAGAAACCTTTAGGTAAAGAAAAAAACATTAGGAGGAAATATGCCAAAACAGTAACAGTGGTAAACTTTGAGTTGTGGTATTATGTGGTTTTAACTTTTATGTTGAATCTTTAAAATAAACGTGAATTACTTGGGGGAAAACCTCTTTTTCTTCATTTGCCTTTGCTACTTAGAGAGAAAATAACTGAAAAAATGGGACCATTATTGTGCATGCAGGTTTAGAGCTAATGAGGGTTTTACTGAATCCAGTAGTATTTCAGAGAACCTACTGTGTCTAGTCATTATTACTGGCCTGACAGGAATCTGTTGTGAGAGGACTGCTGATCTGGAGTCACCTTCTAAATCTAGCAGGATCCACCCACCTCCTTGTCAAAAGTCTTAAGAAGCGCTGAACTGACAGCCCTGACGTCTGGCGCTCTCTTCACCTACAGCTCAGGCGGGGCCCAGGCCACGGCCGTGCTGTTGGCTAATACAGTCACCTCGCCTCCCTCTTCTCCACTTTTATCCTGGACTTCGAGGAGGCAGAGGGACTTCTTCTACTGGGAGAACAATTCCATCCACATGGATCTGTTTCTGGGCCTCTCAGCTCACACAGCTAACTTAACGTGTCAACTGCTGCCAGCAGGGACTAGAACTCTTTAATATTGATTAACTTGTGAAGTGATAGGTAAGCTAGCTCAAAACCCAAACCAGGATGCTCATTTATTTGCAAGGTAGGATCATGTGCATCAGAAACACAACTAGAGTAACTGCTCAGTCTACTGTAGGTGAATAAATAATGGGTACAGTTCATTTAAATATATCTAGGAACTTGCTTTTTAAAAATTTTTTTACAATAATCCAAGCTCATTTTGAACATTTAAGAGAAATCATACTTCTCTCAATTCATATTAGCTTTGATAGCCAGTGTGATCTTGCTAAAATATGAGTTGACTGTCATGGTTCTTCTCCAAACTCTACAATACATACAAAAACTGTACACAAATGTTTATAGCAGCATTAGTCCTAACAGCCAAAAGGTGGAAACAACTCAGAAGTCCATCACTGACAAATGGATAAAGAAAATATGGTGTATGCATACAATGAAATATCATTCAGCCATAAAAAGAAATGAAGTATTGATATAGGCTACAACATGGATGAACCATGAAAACATTTTACTAAGTTAAAGAGACACTCACAAAAGTCTCTATGTTATATGATTCCATTTATATGAAATGTCCCGAACAGAGAAACCTACAGAGGCAGAAAGTAGATTTGTGGTTGCTTAGGGCTGGGTGGGGAGGTGATGAAAATGTTCCAAAATTGACTGTGGTGATGGTTGCATATATTTGTGAATATACTAAAAACCACTGAATTGTATACTTTAAAGGGATGAATTTTATCTCAACAAAGCTGTTTAAAAAGACCCACATCCTACAATGCCCTTTAACTCAGAGTGAAGACTGGTCCTCACAGAGTCTGTAGGGCCCTCCATGACCAGGCCCCGGTACCTCTGACTGCATCTCCCTCACCTTGTGCTCTGGCTCACTCCCCCCCAGACTCTCCAGTCTCCTTGGACACACTGCACGAACCTGCTTTGGGACACAGCTCTGCTGTGCCTGGCACACTCTTTCCCCCATGTGTTTGGCTTCCTCCTCCAAGTCTTTGCTCAAATCTTTTCTCAGGGAGGCCTTTCCCAACACCACACTGAGTAGTGTGAATCACTGCCGCTGCCCCCATGCATTACCCGCGTCCCTTCACACTGCTCTGTTTCTTTCTCCCATGGTTTCATCACCTTCTGACTTGCTATCACATTTACTGATTTTTTAAGTTTATTGCTTATTTATGTCTCTCTTTGCATGAAAATGTAAGCTTCATGAGGGTTAGGATCTTTATTTTAATCAGAGGTATCCTAATGCCTCAGTAAACATCTGAAGAATGCGTAAGTTGATTACTGACTTTAGCTATTCTGATTCATTCAATAAATACATATTTATTCATCTATTCTAGAACTCATAACTAGGCAATACGATTTGATTCTTCCACATAGATGCTGGTGAAAGTATTTGTGGTGCTACAGAATTCATGGCATATATGATTCCTAGAAATGGAAATCTGACTTTCCTCCTTAATTTAGGATAGATTAGGCCAGAATGACTAATGAGACAAACGAAAAAAGCAGGGAGAGAAGCAATTCCTTAAGAAGTGCAAATACTGACACAGGAGACGATGCACACTGCAAACCTGCATGTACCTCAGAGAGAAATGGACAAAGTGCTTAGGGCAGACACTACTGAATCCATTACCAGATCCTTTTTCAGGGCACCTTTTCTGCCTTCAAAAAAGCATGAAAGTTATCCCTAATGAAGTCTCTATAATTAGTCACTACCTTTTATTTCTTTGTATTATGTACCAAGGAGAAGGAAAAACAATAAAAAATTCATATTACATTTTATATGGCTATGGAGAGAGAAGAAGATATTTACTGCCTCTCTTTATTCAGAAGGCAATTTTATTAAGAATGTTGCTAAGGAGGTAATAAGCTTCTTTTCTTTTCCTTGCACAGTTATCAAATTTTACTGAATTTTATACTTTCTGAGTTAAAATATTTTCAGAATAAGTATATATTCCACAATAAAGGGAAATTATGTTAAAAAGTCAAATAATAATACAAAGTGAAATAATACAGAAATACCTCTAAAATGATTCTCAATGAATCCAAGTATGGCTTAGTATGGCTCTCTCAAGGTTCCCAATCATTAAATTCAACTCTCATGCTGTGGTTCTCTAGTCCACTCTTTTTCCTCTATCTGTCCTACCTTTAACGCCCAAATTAATCTTCCTAAAATACTGTGATCCTCTTATAATTTTACTGCTTAAACTTTCAATGATTCCTCATTTTCTATAGAAGAAAGTAGAAATTCCACAGCCTGGAATTCAAGGCCTTCCACAATCATGACATTAACTTTTTTAAAAAAAGTTTTTTATTGATTTTTTTAGAGAGAGGAAGGGAGGGGAGAGATAGAAACACCCATGAGAGAGAAACAGGGATTGGCTGCCTCCTGCAGGCCCTCTACTGGGAATGGAGCCTGCAACCTGGGCATGTGCCCTGGCTAGGAATCAAACTGGTGACCTCTTGGTACATGGGATGATGCTCAACCAACTGAGACACACTGGCTGGGCAACTTTCTTTCTTTTCTTTTTTCTTTTCTATTTTTTTGGCAACTTTCTTTTTTAATTATAACCTGAGGATATGTGGTGTTTCTTTGTTTGTTTTGTTTGGTTATTTTGTTTTGACTTTATTGATTTGAGAGAGAGAGGAAGGGAGAGAAACATTGATTGGTTGCCTCCCATACGTGCCCTGACTAGGGATCGAACCCCCAACCTAGGTATGTGCTCTGACTGGGAATTGAACACACAACCTTTTGGTGTATAGGATGATGCCCTAACCAACTAAGCCACCTGGCCAGGGCTGAATCTTTTTTTTTAAATCACCTTAGTTTTGACATTATCTTTCTAAGTTGTGGCTGCTTCAGCAGGTAATGTCAAAATTTTTACCAAACAATTAAAACACACACACTCCTCTTATTTAATGGTAGAATAACAGCTTAAGGATTAACAAGAAGATACCTAATGTCTTTGGCTATACAACTAAAAGCCATTTTTCCAACAGAATAGGGCATATTTACCTTACAACCAACTACAGAAACAGAAAGTATAACAGAAATATGATTGCTTGCTGCTCTTTTTCTATGTATGTTACCGACAGCTTTCTGCAACTTGCTCATGTAGTTAACTCTGCCTAGAATGTGTTCTCCATTTCCTACCCAAGGCGCAACATATAAACCATCTTTTCCATGAAGCATTTGCTAATTCCTTTTAGCCACTCAGAGAATCCAGGGCTCTTTCATCGGACTCTCTAGGCACTTATTTTCTTCTTATTTTTTTTTTTTACATTTTTTTCTTTCCTTACAGATAATGACTTATTTGAGATAGGCTCTTTATCTTATTCATCTTTGTATTCTTCCTACTAAATACTTATTGAATGACTGTAGTTAATCAACACAATAGAGAAACTCACAGAATTCAACATTATGTCTAGGTATTTTCGAAGTGGCAATTAGATTTCTCCTTCTCTGAACATAGGCAGGAAACATGAATTGTCAACAAGTCAGGTAGGCCCTTGCTTTTCAGGTCTTTGACTTAATTAAGTGATTTATGAACCTCATGGAGTATAGATCTTTCATCTCACACAAACTCTACATTACTCTATGAACGGATGATGTATTTTGGTCTTCAGCAGTTCCCTTACCTTTTCGTGTTGTGCACTGTGGTTCCTCCCAGGACAATCCTCACTCCAGGAGTGGTCCGGTTCAGGTTATAAACTGTTAGCGCTTCTTCATAGGTGGCTCCTCCAATTACAAACACAATGATATCCTGAGGTCTGAAATAATGAAGACATTTAATATCATAGGACAAGGGGGATGGCAAATATTTGTTGTTACTATGATATACACAGTTTTAATTTCTGAATCTTTCTTTTTGGTGGAGGAAGCATAATTAAAGCAGAACAGAATGAAAGGTCTAAAAAAAGTTTTAATTATCTGAAATTGGCAGGAAACAGAGCAAGAAATGCTGAATCGTGATTTGCTTTCTGTTTATGAGCGGATGTCTTATAATTTCTGTGCTGTGGATTTCAGAATAGCACAATAGTGTTTGCTGGAACCAAATGTAGAAATATTCTTTTATATTCAAGAGGCTGCAGAGTACTTCACTATGGCATGATATCAATATAGCGGTAATTTATGCTTGTACTACACATCTCTCTTCATGTGTAAGACCTTTGTCAAATATTTAGTACAGTGTCATTACAATGGCCTCTGTCCAAGGACCTCAAAGTGTTTTGGAAACCACTGGTATATTTGGATGTCCCATAACTTGGGAACTAGAAACATTTAGTATTTTGAGAGTAAAAAAAGAATGTGACACAGAAATTAATGATGCTTCTAGGAACTCCACCTCTTTTTAAAGTCTTTGTTCCTCAATCCTTTGATAAACCAAGGGAAAGAAACCATGGAAACGAACAAACCAAAAAGCCCCTGAGTGCTGTTTTGAAACTGGACATGCTGACACATCAGCTCAGTCACTAGCCTCCTTTGGGAAGCTCTGTACAGTTTTACTGTGTTTCAGTTTTTATCAAAATGGCTTCATAACAACAGTGATAGGTCCTCCTCTTAGCTCCTTCTGTAGATGGCAACAAGGAGGAGATCATGTTATTTTTAAAACTGTTAAAGTTTGCCTTGTTTTTATTCTCTCATGCCATCAAAAGAAGATACAATTACTTAACCTTAGTCAGCAGTTAATTTTGTTAAATCACTTCCTGGACATTATTTAAAACTACATCAAGCAGAGGCATCCATTTGGGAGGTTACAGCACAAAACTAAATAGAAACATCTTTAATTAAAGGATATAATGCTTACGTATAAGTCATGTTCGTCTACATTTTTTTTCTGTTTTATCTCTCTCTCTCTATTCTTTCTAAACAACAACAAAACCTTGAAGGAATTAACTGAGAGAATATTAGTTCCTGTTGGACTCCTTGGAAACAGAATCAAACACTGTGTCTATTTAAAAACGTTCCCTCTCACTTTAGTCCTCTTGTACCCGTTTCTCCCTAGAGGCAAACATTTCTTGTCTTTTATGCATCCTTTTAAAAATATTATCTGTTTGTATATAAATACACATATATATGGCAATTAAATTTCTCTGATCTATATGTGATTTCCTCTAGTAGTTCAGAGAAGTAGATATGAACGTTAAGTCTAAATTATTTTTTTAAAATATTTTTTTATTGATATCAAAGAGGAAGGGAGAGGAAGAGAGAGAGAGAAACATTGCCCTAACCGGTTTGGCTCAGTGGATAGAGCATCAGCCTGCGGACTGAAGGGTCCCAGGTTCGATTCCAGCCAAGGGCATGTACCTTGGTTGCGGGCATATCCCCAATAGGGGGTGTGCAGGAGGCAGCTGATCGATGTTTCTCTCTCATCGACGTTTCTAACTCTCTATGCCTCTCCCTTCCTCTCTGTAAAAAATCAATAAAATATATATTTTTTAAAAAGAAACATTAATGATGAGAATCATTGATTGTCTGCCTGCTGCATGCCACAATGGGGACTGAGCCTACAACCGAGGCATGTGCCCTGACTGGAATCGAACTGTGACCTCCTGGTTCATAGTTCAACACTCAATCACTGAGCCACGCCAGCCAGGCAAGGCTAAGTTGTTAACCCAATATTAATCTGGTGTTTTACATATCAGAGGTTCTTCATAAACTTACAGGAACACATTACCACCACTGTCCACGAATAAGTAAAATGTTCTACACTATCAAGGTTTTGCCCTTCGAGTCCTTGCCTCCAGTTACTGGCCAGTTTTTTTCTTGCTGAGGAAGGTCATCTGCTTAGGAAGAGTTGTATGATCACGATGGGAATATTTTTCTACCAAGTATGATAAACTCTCAATTATTTGGGGACTGAATATTCAGGCAAAATACAGGTTCTCTTCTTTTTCTCCAACTGATATGTGTTGTTTCAACTCTTACTACTATTTCTACAGAAGGGCAAGAGGAATGTGAACAGCTAATACTCAAATTCAGTTCTTGTCAGGATGTAGAACATATTTCATAAGAAAGGGGATTGAATAAAAATTACAGTTGGCTGTAATTTTAAAAACTAACACAACACTCTATAACTTTTATCACAGTATTACCCTCATTACTATACACAATTTCTTTCCTTTTTCTTATATATAGAACGCTTCACGAATTTGCGTGTCATCCTTGTGCAGGGGCCATGCTAATCTTCTCTGTATTGTTCCAATTTTTAGTATATGTGCTGCCAAAGCAAGCACTACACAATTTCTTTTTAACATTACATTTCTAAGGAAGTAAATTTGTAATTCTTTCCACTTTATTGGTACTACAAGTACCAATGAAATAATTAATAGCCTCTTAAGAACAGTCACAACTGATAAAGGATGAGTTCTGTGGGGGGAAAAAATCCAGTGTTACAAGAAGGTGCCTGTAAGGAGACTGAGGACACTCTAATAATAGTTTGGTTTGTGTTGAACTGTCCAGAGCAGCGGTTCTCAACCTGTGGGTTGCGACCCCTTTGGCGGTCGAACGACCCTTTCACAGGGGTCGCCTAAGACCATCCTGCATATCAGATATTTACATTACGATTCATAACAGTAGCAACATTACAGTTATGAAGTAGCAACAAAAACAATTTTATGGTTGGGTCACAACATGAGGAACTGTATTTAAAGGGCCAGAAGGTTGAGAACCACTGATCTAGGGGGTCAGCCTAGGTGGAAAATAGGGTGGGGAAACAGTTTCAGTTTTAAGAAATAATAAAATCCTCAAAACTAAAATAAAATTGTATTTTCAGAAAATGAGTCTTTTTCTTACAGAAAAATTCTATATGCAGTGTTCTTTACATTGAAGGACAACTCTAGCCTAAGAACCGTTATGCAGTTTATCTTGAATAAACACTCATGAGTTGCACAGATTGTTTCATTAGGAAGACGGGAGGGAAGTTCTTCCCTGCCGGGGCGCAGTGACTGTTGAGAGGAAGCAGACAGTAACCCTTTTGTTTTGAGTTCCTGATCTGGTAAATCAATTATTTGAAAAGCAGTTGAGCAGACTAGTAAGGATCATCCTGGAAAATGATATTGCATCTCTATAGCTGCCCTCTGCCCATCACCTGCCTCAGAGCACATCTGGCTCTTATGGAAAAAAGGGGCAAGAATTGGGAAGGAATAAACTCAAGGGGTTTCTAGCACAGCCAGAGAACACGATCCTTTAGTCTGATCATTGCAGGGTGCCAGAGCATTTTCACAAGACCAGAGAGGGAAAACATGTTACAGATGCTAACTGGGGGTGTAGGTTACCTTAATGTAAGGACAAAACCTGGACATTGGGATAGACTCTTAGTGCTTGACTCAACTGTGTGTGTCCCTAACAAAGATGACTGTCACATTTGGTTATGAAAATATTAATGTTTTCCTGAGCCTCCTACTACTCATTCAAGCTGGCTTAAGGAAGACATGACTGAAAAAATTTTTAAAAACATCCCTGACATTTATCCTTTTCATTCCTTTCCCAATGAATTTTATTTTATTTTATTATTATTATTTTTTTTTTTTGCGGAGGGGTCTGGGGACCCGGAGGGTAGCCCAGGCCTGGCTGGGCGGCGGGGATGGGGGGTGGAGGGTGGAGGGGGGAAGCGGCAGGGAGGGGAGTGGGATGGCGGGGGCGGCCTCTTTCCCAATGAATTTTAAAAGTAGATGTTCTGAAGAGGCCAATAGTAAAATATATAGCAAAACATTTTTATGATGGCTGAAGCTAAGTGGAATACGCAAGTTCAATTCTTTGTACACATCTTCCTGTTCTCTGTAATTCTCTATAGCAACCAAAAGCATTGATTAATGCAGACAGCCAACATTAGAAAGCAGCAGCCAGTTCATGCTGTATATAAATAAACAAGGGCACTTTGAGAACCCAACCAACTTACATCTTATTAGAAAAATAAACAAATTTTTTTTCATATAGAGTAGTTCTGGAAATCATTACTTCTATACATGGTAAGCAGAAAAACATAAACTTTTAAAAAATTGAAAATATTGAGATGACACTGGTTAATCAAATTACATAGGTTTCATAATAAATCATCTGTATATTGTATTATGTGTGCACCACCCCAGTACTTAGCTCACTCCAATTATATCCTTTATTTGCTTACTAGTTTCCTGTCTATCTCCTTCATGTAAGTTCCTTGAGGGCAGGTACCCATCTGTTCTGTCACTTCTAGTTCCCCAGCATCTACAATACTTCTTGACATACTGAAGACACCCAATAAATACTCATTATATAAAAGGATGAAGCAATTGAATTATTAACTATATATGTATTTATAATTGTGACAAATGCTAACAGATGCTGACAACAAATGTGCATTTTGAGCTTTGGTTGGAAAAATAAATCACCCAGATTAGAAAGGTTTCCTGTCATAATCTAATCATATACAACACACTCCTCTGGTGATCTATGGTGTCCCTTTAGTAATAAACATCTATTTTTTTTTGTTCAGTAATCCTGATGTAAAATTCATAAGAAAATCAATAGTTTTACTTTTATCAGAGCAATCAGAAGGCTATTTAATAGAGTTATACTGTTTTTCTTTTCTTTTTGTGCTGTTTTTCAAAAAGCCTCTATGATAGGTGAATGGCTTTTGGCTGGTTCTGATTCTTCCCACTTAGCTGACATTTCTGAACCTTGATGCCAAAACTGTTAGCTATTTTATCTGAATGAGCGTACTCTCTGAATTTAACCCCAGATGTTCTGCCTCTTACCTTGGATATTTTAAAAGATTTTTTTTTTCTGATACCAAATTATAAAGGGTTTTTTTTAAAGAATAAAGTGGCCGAAACTGGTTTGGCTCAGTGGATAGAGCGTCGGCCTGCGGACTGTAAGGTCCCAGGTTCGATTCCGGTCAAGGGCATGTACCTGGGTTGCGGCAGGAGATGTGCAGGAGGCGGCTGATCGATGTTTCTGACTCTCTATCTCTCTCCCTTCCTCTCTGTAAAAAATCAATAAAATATATATATAAAAAAAAAAAAGGAAAAGAAAAAAAAAAGAATAAAGTGGAAAAATATATCATATAAAACAGTCACCTAGGTGCCTCAAAACATTTTTCTCCTCCCAGAAATTAATTATATTTCTAAAACACTATTCTTCCAAGGCTCTTAGATTATGAGTAGCTAAAATTATAGAAGCCTTATACCAACAGTAACAATTCTCACATCATCCCATCTAATAGGATTAAGCTACACATATTAGGTTCTTTATAACATGTGGTCCCAATAAAAAAAATACACAAAAATATAATTTATAACTAGGTAGAATTTGTATATATTTAAAAATCCAGGGTGGAATAAATAAGTTGTCCTGGACAAGTTTTGTCTTTTTTAAAACAAATAGACCACTGGATTAAAATGACAATTAATTGCTTCCTTCAGTTAATACCCCAAAAGAAAGCCATCCTTTTCTTCTTTGTAACAAATGGCCTTTGTTAATGAGGTCTCAGTTTGTATGCTGGCCACATTTGGCAAAGTTCAGTCCTGACCAAAAATAGTAACCACCTGCTCTGGCTGGCAATCAAGCAGCAAATCTATTTTTGGCTTTAATGTTTGAAACTCCAAATGTTAGATGCCATGGAACTGAACCTTAAATGGCATAAGCAAACTGGTCTGAGACTAAAGAACAGAATGTAAGTATTTGGGTTGTTCCAAAACATCTGTTTCTTTATTCCAAAAGAAGTAATATTTCAGGTGTAGCTGGTGAATTTATATCTAACCTTGACACATGTAAAACCAAAAGAGTCTTAGAACTGAAACAATAGGGGAAGGAGGAGTAGAATGATATGATTGGAGTTGTAGTCCCTTACATTACTCTAAATGTCCTATTGTCTTAGTTTTATTATTAATATCTTTATATCTTACCTGTCTCTGAGTGTGCTGGGGCCTAGATAAGGGTACAGGTTTTCTTTAAGCTTTCCTTTGATGAGATGGTCCAGGGTCTCATGTAGGAAAGGTTGATGCTGAGTATACACGTTTTCTATTCCCTAAGACAGGGGAAATAGTTCTTATGTCATTTTTTGAAAACTTGCAATATACTGGTTTATGATATTCTTATCAGAAAAGAACATGCACTCAATAGAGATTTCATGAGGTAGATTCAAATAGGAATTTTATGGTTAGATAATTTTTAAAAATATATTCATCAATTAGAACTGTTCCAATCTCATACTAACACTGTAATTTAAGGCTAGCTACTTTAAAGGAATTTTAAAAATGAAATTGCTTAAATCCTTTAGCATCTATTCACTAACTCTCATCTTTTTGTGAAAATGTTACATGACAAGTAGAACAAATAAAAGGAATGGATTATGTAGAAAAATAGACTAGACACACTCAGGAAAATGGAAAAAATTTAGGCAGAATTAGAAAGGGTAGCAGATTAAAACCAATTTCTGACCATTTTAAGAAAATAGGTCAGTCTTTTTAAAAGATCTATAATTGTTTGCTTCATTTTTATTTTCCTTCAAAGAAAAACTACCTAACAAATCTTAAGTTATAAACACGTAGAGTGAAATAGTGATGACTAACAGAACCGTCTGTCTTTTCACTCTTGGGTTTTCCTGGAAATATCTCGGTATTGTCTGCTCAGCTATTTGGTCCAATGCTGATGCTGCTCCAGTATAGAATGCATTTTTTAAAAAGCTTTCAGGAGGATATCGACTTTAACTTCACTTAATCGACATAGTTCTAAATCAGCAGCCATCCGGGAGTTACTTTGATCACATTCATTCACTCGCAGACTCAGGGGTTTCAACTGTTGTTCATTTAGGACAGCACAGAGATGTCATACCTTCAATCCTTTGAGGAACTGTTTGGTAATAGCCACAGCATCTTTAGGGCTGAAGAGGTCACTTCCTCTGACCCGTTTACCACCGTATTCAACAACTGCAGACACAAGCTATGAGAGAGAGAGAGAGAGAGAGAGAGAGAGAGAGAGAGAACATCCTCTTATTGCTTGGGGATCAGGAAACTCATTTCACAAGAAAATAATTTTATTAAGGAAATGAAGACCTGTTTGGTGGGATTAACGTGTACATGTGGTTACCTTTCGATATTTCTCAGAAACACCCTTATTCCTGAGGTCCATCATTAGCCCTGGCAGGCTGTTGCTGCTGTGTCGCTCATAGTGCAGCGCGTAGAGCATCACCAGGCGGGCAGCATCGCATTCTGTCACTTTGGGGTTCTGCAGGAGCCTCTTTACATTCTGAAGAGAGACAGAGAGAACTGACATTTAACCCCCCTTCACTTGAGTGATGGTGTATAATATCTCAGATCTCATAATTACTGAATAGCAGTGATACATCTGAGTTCATGACTAAGATGACTACTACGGCAATGTACAGTTAATAGGTTCAGCAACTGTTTCAACTACAGAATATTAGATGCCTTTTGCCTAAGATAAGAATTAAATAAGGAAATAAATTCCCATTGTAATTGTTTAGGACAAACATGAATTAACCATGGATAGTTTTGTGTATGTTTTTCCTTTGATGAAATGGCCCAAGGTCTTATGCAGGAAAGGAACAACATATACTCTTTCTACCACTTCAATCATTACAGTACACAACAGAACTCACCAGCTGACTTGCAAAATGCTACTGCTTTCTCTTAGTGACTGGCCAGTGGGAAAAAAAGAGACAAATTGGTAGAATTTTACAATGGAGAACTCGGCTTAATTGCTAAGCAGCAGCAGATGTATCAATCTGTATCAACATTGTTTACAGGGATATGAGTATGTAAAAAGCATGTAATCTTTAAATTGAATACTTACGATCTTAATAGGCAGGTACCGACAGCAGGGAAAGCTGGACAAAATCATGTTTGTTTTGTCAACCCTCACAGTAAGGGATAAATGTAGATTTATATTTATTATGCAGAACAAATTAATTCAAGCCAAAAAATACTTTTTGAGCCCTAAGTGTAAGACACTATGCCACTGGAGGGGATAGCAGAGATGAATTAGAAACAGTTTCTGTTCTCAGTGAGTTCACAGATAATGGGGTTTAGGGGGATAAAAAAGTATAGCCCATTCTGCTACAAAGCATGTGTCTTTAAAGTACGTTAGCTCAGTGAGATTGATAAATATGGAAATGGTATCAGTTTAACACAGAAGGCATATTGGTTTATACATAATTTTTCCAGTATGTTAATATTTAGAAGAGACTGGGGACAAGCTTCTTCTTTAAAGAGGAAGATGTCAAGGAAAAAATCATAAAAATCCCACAGAAGTGTTTTCTGTAAGAAGTAGCTGGTTTTGTAGCTTTAAGAACTGCTGTGCTTTTCACTATGCTAAGCTATTGGGGAAAGGGCGAGTGCAGATGAAAAGGATGCAAAGATAATCCTCTGTTTTAAAAAGCAAAACAAACAACCCAAAACTAATTGACATCCCCCTATTGTATTTTTAATTTTGATGAAAACAGTCTCTATGAAAAGCAAATGTTTTTGAAACCTTATATTTTGAAGAATAAAACGTGAGACCCCAAAGGATGGACTGATTATATTTCTAGGTGTAAATGTCAGTGGAGATTTAACAGTGCTAGTGTTTATATTAGAATTGTTATTATTTTTATTGGGCTCTGCTTACAAAGTTACATACTTTTTTTTTTTTTAGTTATATAGACTTTAAGTGATCTGCCTATAACCTTATTTTCCTACAACTCTTGTTTATTTTTAGTGCATAATTTTGCAGAATGTGAGGCTTTATAGGAGCACATATGTGGCATTATAACAGAAACATATGTGTGCAACAAAACAAAACAAAAACCCAAAACTGAAAATCAGTGCAATGGAAGGAAGAGGACACAAAGTGAGGTACATCTGGTTGCTGGAGAACCAAGAAAGACTTCATGAAGGAGATGACATTTGCAAAATGCCCTAAAGAATGTTAGAATTAGTCTGAGAGACTGAAAGAGAAGATGCTATTAATAGGAATATGGAAATCAGAGAAAGAAATGGGTTGGACTGAAAGACCGTCAAGCGTCTTGGAGGGCCCTGGATTCTGAGGATGTAACAACTAACATCGATATGGTAATTTACAACTTATAAGATGCTTTTCACATACATTACCTTCTTAGTCCTTCACAACAATCAGGTCTAATGTCTCAGGACTCTCCCAGGAACCTCCCAGTAACTCTCTAGTATAAAAAGTTCTCCAAGTAAGATTCCTATTGTTGCTTTTCTGGGTCAACATTTCACTACCATGATTCTTTTTTTTTTTTTTTTTTTTAAATATATTTTATTGATTTTTTACAGAGAGGAAGGGAGAGAGACAGAGAGTTAGAAACATCGATGAGAGAGAAACATCGATCAGCTGCCTCCTGCACATCTCCCACTGGGGATATGCCCGCAACCCAGGTACATGCCCCTGACCGGAATCAAACCCGGGACCCCTCAGTCCGCAGGCCGATGCTCTATCCACCGAGCCAAACCGGTTTCGGCTACCATGATTCTTAAGGGATCAAAAAGAAAGATATTTCTCTTTCATTGATTTAAACCTTGCAGCATAAGAATTTCCTTACTTTTTTCATTTTGTGGTACCTTTTCCACAGAGCAGTCACTGAATACAACCTATTTAGAATATCTGTTCAAATGTTCCCCTGGTTTTTACTATAACATGAAGAAATTTCAGGGTATAAATGATCATCAACTAAAAGCATACAATTTCATATGTATTTCAGTACCTTGGCATAAATTTCAAACACCTATCTAGGATTTCTGTTGTCACTTTTCTTAGAGGCACAATGTTTCGTTTTCTGCTCTTGCAGTCACTCTTTTTACCTGATAGCTACTCCATTTCTAGCTGACCTGTCTCTGTACTTTTAAACAAATCTGAGATATTCAAGTAACTATATGCCCACATAAGTGCGATGGGGACAGTAAAAGACTATTTGTAGCCATTAGCTTTTACCCTTCCTACCTTCTAATTACGTTCACTTGAATCTTGACTTGGCTCTCTCTGTTTCCTACTACAGAATCCACTTCTATTCCTTGAGATTTGATCCTGGTATCTAGAGTCCCTGGCTTGACTCTTAGCTCTCCTTCAAGGACTTGGTCCAGAGCTGAACCAGGATTACTTTGAGTAGACTACTTTGGAGCCCTTAGGACCCAACCGTGGTCAGGGCAGTGTTCTAGCTAGACTTACCTATTTCATCAAGAAAAGAAACCTAGCCCTAACCAGTTTGGCTCAGTGGAAAGAGTGTTGGCCTGCAGACTGAAGGGTCCCAGGTTTAATTCCGGTCAAGGGCAAGTACCTTGGTTGTGGGCACATCCTCAGTAGGAGGTGTGCAGGAGGCAGCTAATCGATGTTTCTCTCTCATCTATGTTTCTGACTCTCTATCCCTTTCCCTTCCTCTCTGTAAAAAATCAATAAAATATATTTAAAAAGAAAAGAAACCTATAGGTATGAGTTATTTTTTCTCTTTCAGCTATGTAAGTCCTTGAAGAAACAAGGCATTTTTGCCTGCCTGGATCCCATGTTATTCTTTGACTTTTGAACTATTTCCCTCATGACCAGGTGACTCATTAATTTTACTTACAGTGGTATGTGGTATATTGAGATTTCAGGGTACTGATTAGAGAAGAGGAAAAAAGGAATCTGAGAGATTTTCTCTTTTCATATTAAAATTTCCATAAGCTTTGAGGATATAAAGAGAGAAAAGTATACTATCACATGAACAGTGGCTAAATAAAGAGCAAAACAAAATTATTGCTCTCTTAAGGAGAAAAGTTTCAAAGATCTTTCACTGAATTTGTGTAGGCCAAATCAAGAAATAGGAAAAGCAAAGCAAAAACACTGTCGTTGAAGATCAGGTTTCAAAAGAAGCTAACAGTCACTCAAAAGACATTAATAAAAAACAATTCTGATATTTAGAGCTTCTTCCATTGTTTTGGGATGACTACTTTTCTATCAAAACTTTGATGAGGCAGCACAATGAGAAAATAATAACATACCTACATTTTAAACCACTGTACACATTACAGATGAAGTCAGCCAATAAAGACTGTCCCATTATTTGCTTTAATTTAAACTAAAGAACAGGAGCTCTACCTTGTTGTATACTATCACTATCACATTAATGTAGTAAATAAATAGTATTATTCATTGAGCAGATGGGAACAGCAAAATGGAATTGGTAGAAACCTTCAACATGCGGATATGATAAAAAATGAGTCTAATCTAATAGTTTGAGAAAACAGTATTTGGGGATATAAAGAGCTCTATCCAGGAAAAATAATAGGCAGTAGGTAGGACCCAATTCCACTGACTGGCAAATAGTCTAGTTAACATAAAATCCAGTTTTGCTGAAGATCTTCTGGTCCACACTCTTTCTGAAACACTAAACACTGGTTTAGAAAAGGATCATTTTTACTTCTAACTGAGCAAAGTAAAATTGTCAGCTCTATGTGTCCCAAACAATTTTCTCATGATTTTAATGAAAAGCAAAGCAAAACAAAACAACAAAAAAACCCTCTGAAACCAGGGAGAGATCCAAGGTTATGACTGAAGTAAAAAAATATGTCCTGGGTGCCATAAAGAACATAGAATGTACCACCAAATAATAACACTGATGATGGTGATCGCTAATACTTGTTGAATGTTATAACTACCAGGCACCATATGAAGTGCTTCACATGTACTAGCATATTGCACCCTCACAAAAATCTATGAAATACTGTTATTTTTCTTCATTTTACAGTAAAAAGAATAAGACTATTTTTAAACTCAAGCCATCAAAGGCCCAAACTCTTAACCACTACTCCACATTGCTTCAAATAGAGCTCTTTTCATTTTTCTAACAAATATTTATTGAGTCTCTACTATGTGCTATTAATAGTATGATTACCAGGAAAGAAAGACATAAAATAGACTAGTTCCTCCTTCCAAATAAAAAGTTGTGAGATGACAATATGGGGGGGGGGGGGGTTGTTTACTTTCTGAAGATGTTTCTCTTCATGGTATGAAAAAAATCTTCCTTCTAATCAAACGAGTCTTTTCTGAGGCTATGGATATGTATGCTTCAGTGGTAGTATATAATAGTTTGGGTCTAGTGAAATTCTTTCTAAACAAAAATGTTGTTAGACTATAGAATAACTGGTTAGAAATGGCTTATAGGTTAATGTTTGGCAATATATGAGCTTTTTCTCTCTCTCACCATGTTACAATTACTATTCAATAAAGCAAACCCCATCTGTACTAAAAAAAAACAACCCTCAATTCATTCCTTCATGACGTATTATAATCTAGGGTCAAGCCAAGGAATGCTATAACCCATCTAGGGGTCAGGCCCCTGGCATCTACTCATTATCAAACAGAAGTTCCCTTTATAGACTATTTAAGTCATGTTGCCAAAGAAATCCATTATGATGGCGGGAGTACAAATCAACTGCTCACTGTAAAACCCTAATACCATGGGCAAGAAAACCTTCAAAAGATACCTTTAAAAAATGTAAAGTGGATCACAAATGGAATTCATATTTTAAAAGTACTATCTTTCTTTTAAAGTGAACCCCTCCCCCCCCAAAATATTTCAGGCAAGGAATTACAGTAATTTTGTTCCAACTGCTTACCATTTGGTAGAGAGATACAAATAAAGATATTAAATTTGGCTAGTGATTATGTTTGGTTCTATTGTTTTAAAGGAAAAATAAAATGATAAACATAAGGAAATTTAAATTTAGTTATAGGGCAAAATTTGTTTTTATTTAGGAAGAGAAGAAAACTCATTTTATTGAGAAAAACAAAAAGTTTTCATAGAAATATTTCTATTAGGCCCATGAAACAATAGACTTTAGTAGTGTTGTTTAAAACTGTCTTTAGTCGTATTGTTTAAAGTAAGTTGGTCAAGTTAAATAGATTGTGATACAACTTTACAAAGAAATGGTAAAAAGAATGAGTCTTTAGATATTTATCTGAAGCCATCCCTGAGAGACATAGTTAAGTGAGCAAGTAAATGCAGAATTATGTACAATATGGTATCATTTGAATTTAAAGAGTGGGAGATATACACATCCAAACAGGCTTGCACAAATACAGAATAACTGAAACTAGTAACAAACCCAGCTTTTACTATATATCTCTCAAATATATCTTATTTAAGAATCAGAATTTAAGACAATTAAAAAATAATAAAGTCCGCCTACATTTTTTGTGAAGATTTAAGAACATAGGGATAAAATTCAAGGCCAGAGTGGCTGCGTTGGTTGAGTGTCATCCATGAACTGAAAGGTCAGGGGTCTAATCTCCGGTCACGGCACATGCCTGGGTTTCTGGCTCGATCCCCAGTAGGGGGCCTGCAGGAGGCAGCCAATCAATGTTTCTTTTTCCCTCCCTCCCCCATCCTCTGTCTATAAAATCAATAAAACATATTTTTAAAAAGTGATGATAGAGGTACTTTTCAGAAATATAAAGCAAATAGCATCTTCATGATTTTCAAAATGTTGATGTTTTCAGGGGAAATTCTGATAAACATTTTAAAAAAGTAAAGGCCAACAACTACCTATCCCAGTAAAGACCTTGGTATAACTAGAGCAACCACAGGTGGGTGCATTTCTTTCTTCTGCTTGTACAGATATTTTTAAAAGTATGCTTAGAGGGCCCTGACCAGTTTGGCTCAGTGGATAGAGTGTTGGCCTGGGGACTGAAGGGTCCCAGGTTCGATTCCGGTCAAGGGCACATCCCCAGTGGGGGGTGTGCAGGAGGCAGCTGACCGATGTTTCTCTCTCATCGATGTTTCTAACTCTCTATCCCTCTCCCTTCTTCTCTGTAAAAAAATCAATAAAAATATTAAAAAAAAAAAGAATGCTTAGAGGAAGGGAACCAACATTTACAAAGCACCTATCACCTATCATATGTGAATAATCTGACATATTTCATTGAATCCTCATAACAATCTAAAGGTTTGAAATCATTATCCCTGAGGCTTGGGCAAAGTAAATAATTTTCCCAAAGAAACGGTGGTATGTAGAGACAGGCTATCAGCCAGGACCGTCTGGCTCCAAAGCCTGTGTTGTTTCCATTAGACCACACGGGCTTTATTTTATAAAGTAAAATTGTAGCAGGAAAAGAAAGAGACTAAGTTTTAGAATATTGGGTCCTTATCAATACGGAAATGTGCTTCTTATTTTAAGTAGCTTAGAAATGGCTATCTCTCAAAGAACTTATTCCCAAGCTAACTTATTGTCAGTGACATCACACTGTGCCATTTCTCAGGAACCCTGGAATTATCTCTGATTTGTTCTTATTATCCTTATATCCAATCTGTCACTAAATTGTTGTTTTCTCCCTTTGAAATGCCTCTTAGCTTTCCTCTTATTGTACATTTTTTACTACTATTGCTACGAGTCCACTAGCCTCACTGACTTCAGGTTTTTTTTACCTCCAAAGTATCCTAACTAGATTACATTTCCTAAAGTACTGCTTTTATCATATCAACTTTCTACATAAGACCCTACACTGGATCTCTTTGCCTATCTCAGCAAGTATAAATTCCTCTTATAAGCTTCTGCATAAACTGCTTCGTGTTTACCAAATCACTTTCATCTCCTATTCTCTTCCACACCCATTTTCAACGGGTGAAACTGTTTATTCTTTTCTGCATACTTCTGCATCTTTGCTTTTGCTGCTATTCCTGACTGAAATCCTCCTCCAGATTCTATTCATTCTTTATAGACTATCTTAATGGCACCTTCTCTCAGAAACTTTTCCTAATAACCGCAAATCTTATCGTCAGTATCACAATTTTGATTTAAATATTATGTTGCAACACTAATTGTTGCACTAGCTACACTGAATTATTCTCTCCCCCCTACATATGTATATATATATTTTTTACATCTCCATGCCTGCATTCTCTGCTGAGAATTTCCCCCCTTTTCTCTGGTTGGTACACTCCTCCTCCTTATTTATTTGTCCAGACCCACATCTAATGTCATCTTCTCTAAGAAGCTCTAAGAAGCCTCAACTTTAGGGAAAACTGTTGTCCTTTCTGTGTTTCCATATTCCGTTGGAAATACCTCTAGAATAGCACTTATTGCACAGTATTATAAATCCTGGCTTAAATTTTTCTCTTCCCTATTATCATGTGAACTCTTTGAGGAAAAAAAATGTTATTATATTGCATTTTGTACCTGTAGATCCTCATAGCACCATGCACGTGTAGCGGACATTCATGTATTTGTGGAATGAAAAACAGATGTTCAGTAATGAAAAACTGAGATAATGTATTTTAATTTATTATATCTTTTAAAAGCTTCCTAACGACACCGTGTGATAGATATCATTATACCTATTTTTCAAATGAGGAAACTAGTTCAGAGATTAAGCCAAAAGCTCCAGGTCACAAAGCCGGTAAGTGGCAAACCAAAAACTAAATTCCAGACCTTCTGATTTTAGTCTAGTATTCTTTCTAGTAGATCAGGTTACCCTCCTAAATATTCAATTAATTGCCTGAACCCTTTGATTGCACATTATTCTTTTGTGGCTCTTATCATGTATCTATCTTAATATTAAACTGTGTACTTGTCTCAGCTCCTCGTTAGACTGTAAATTCCATGTTGGTGAAGAAGGATCACTTGCCTTAGTATCTCTTGCTCTGCCTGGCACAGTGCCTTACACATAGTAGGTGCTCATCAAATGGGACTGAATAGATACCTGGAGAGCACTAGAATGGTCATTTTGACAGGCCAGTTCTTGTTCAACCTCCGAAACCTCCAGCAGATTCCGCTCACCGACCAACCGAGACAGCTCTCCAACAACTGTCACGTGCTTTGATACAGTCCCAGACATCTTCTTGAACTGTGGGTAATTCTCAACAAAGGCCTGCCACGGGAAAAACATCAATTGGGGGTTCTATTATTTTTTGACCAAGGATAGGCATGTATGAAGGAAAAAAAAAATCAGGGATTGTTCTGCCAAGAAAAGGGCATCTACAGCTTTCAATCACATGGCATCTGGCATTTTGTTATGCCTAGGAAGAGAAGAACTGGTATATGTAAGCAGACTGAGTCTTTTAATAGTCCAAAGGTGACTGAAGAATGGAAAGAAGTTTATGGCTTATTACGAAGTTTTCACTATATTGTTTTCTAAAGAGAAATATTACAGAAAATACCTCAAAACAAACTAAATGAATTAAGGTAGAAATAGAATAGCTCCCAAACTTGCATGTTAGTCATCCATGTTCAATTTACCTTCATGTCTGCTATTGATTCTAGTTTTTGCTGTTCTTTTGGTTTCTTCTTCTGAAAGTCTTCCATGAGATTCTTTATATTGCTACCAATCTCAGCGAAGTTCAGGTACATGTTCTGTGAAAAAGGAAGTTGGAAACACAGTTCTATCAACTAGTCTGACGTTCAGACAGTTTAAAAGAAGAAATGAAAAAGAATTCTGAGCACAGTTAGAATTAAAGGGTAAGAAACTTCCATTATAACTAGCAAGTCTGGACATTGGTCAGGACACTGGTGATGAATACCAGTAGTATTCTCACAAAGGGCTACGGGAGGGAGGGAAGTAAGTAAATTGGGTTCTGATTTTAAAGGTGGAAAACCAAGTATGTGATTTCTATGGAAAAAATATTGTTAAAGGGGGGTCAGAATCCAAGTCTTCTGCCTTCCCTTAAGATGCAGTTTATCCACATCGGATGCCTCCATCATCCTTCCACATGAATTCTCACAAGTCAATATTGACCTTCTTACATAAAAACAACTAAACTCAATTAAAAACCACTTACATTAGCATAGAATTCATCGTTTTCAGCAGATAGGACCACCTCTCTTAAGTCTTTACTGATCCCTGGCACTCTGGAAAGATCAATCCGATTGTTGTTTATGCCCAGAAGTTCATGGACCATGGCTTGGTATGTCCACTAAATAAAGAATCGTGACAAAAAAATTGGTAATTGACAACACATGGAAATAGCAAATGTTTAGGAAAACAAAAACGAATAACTTATTCTTAGTAATTACTCTTCTTTACATGGAGATTCTCTAGTTCAAGTTTTATTGGTATTTTGTGCTATACTAAATATTAAGATTGCCATTTTAATTGGTTAAACATCCAAATGTCAAAATACTTTTAGATTTCACACTTTGAAAGAAGGGCGGCAAGATTAATATTCCTGATAAAAAGGAAAATTAGATCTATCATTAGCTCCAATTTTGGCCTGTGAATTAAGGGTATATTTTTGGCTTCACGGATAGGGCTATATTGGTACTGCAGTTACAAGCTGTACCATTTCCTGTACGCTTCTGTGGTTTTCTGCAGCATGAGAAGTGTATTCTTGCAGGTCTGAGTGGTGCTATATTTATCCTGGGAACACTAATATTATCAGAAAAAACCCTTGTGAGTTGATGAAAATACACATATTCAGAAGCTTTATATTTTTACTTAAAATGAATTGTGAAGAGGGTTGGTTTCCAGTCTTACAAATGTGAACTTATTTGGTAAAACTGGAAAAGAGAACCCCCAAATATTTCCTTCTGGCCATTTATAGAGAATGGGTTACTTTTAATCATAGGCCCATTGGACAAAACTAAATATTTTCCAGCAAATTACCCTCTAAATCTAGAATCTAATACTAGAAATATTTACATATGTATATCCCATCTTTTAAAAATCTAGATTAAGAAATGACTTGAGGTTATAAAAGATGTTTTATTTCCTAAAATATCTGCCAGATGAATCCTCAAAACAGCCAGTTTCATTAGGGCATTTAAAATAAGCACAACCAAATGTTTTATGCTTCCATAGACAGCATCCTGTGCATGCTCTGCCATCAGCACTTACTCTATAATTAAGTTATCTCTTTTCTTCTCTCTCCATTGGACCACAAGGTCTGTGAGAGAAAGATTTTTTAACCTTTTATCGCCAGGACTTAATACAGTACCTGCCACATAACAGGTCCTTAGTGAAATCTGTTGAATGAATGGTTGCTTTTCTTTTGCAAATAGAATTATAGGCAATCATTTCTCTTTCTAAATTTTTTATATTATCAAAATTTATTTAGTGAACAAATATTACTTTGAATTTTAGGAATATAAGCCTATTGCATCATAGAGCAGTTGCATTCCACAGCGCAGATCTCCCCAGCATTAACATTATTACCTATAAGCTGGGAAGGAACTGAAATATAGACTGTGCCTTTCCCTACACATTCAAAGTCACGATTAAAAAAGCATCTACTGTGTGCAAGGCTCTGTGCTTGTACTTGCATTAGAGCAAACACTGGCAAGACAGTCTGCCTTGAAGGAATATGTAACTAGGAGAGTGTGAAAACAAAGGTTCAGCATGGTGAGTGCAGCGCGAGACACATGAGACACACAAAGTTGCCAGAAATTTTAGGGAAAAAGGGACATGTCTGACTAAAAGAAAAAAGGCTTCAAGATGTTTCGAGTGATTTTTAAAGAGAAGAGCTTTGATAGGTGAAGTTGGGAAGACAAAGTATTCCAAACATTCCAGAGCTAAGATGGGTCACAACATGAATAAAATGATGGCAGGAAACCATGCGTGGCATATCTGCACAGTCGTGAGCTGTAGGTTTTGTACAGGGTTGGGCCCATATTGTGAAGGCTCTCGGATGTCAAGATCAGGCGTCTGTATTTAACTCAGTAGGCAAATGGGAACCAATGAAGATTTCTAAGCCAGCCGTAAACAGGACCAGAACTGTGCTTTGGGGAAATTAATTTAACAACATTGTGTCTGTGGAATATATTAGAGTGGGATGAAATGTAAAGTGGGGATTAAGTAGGTGACTATTTCAGTATTCCCATGAATGATTTGGGTCTACATCAAGGTAACAGCAGTAGAATGGAAAAGAGCAGACAAACACTGGAAAAGTAGAGTCTATAGGACCTAGAAGTTGCCCTGATTCGGGGTTGGGGTGGTGGTAGAAAGGGACAGGAAGGATGAGGCAGAAGAAAGAGCCAAGGATTATTGTGGCTAGAAGAATAGTGATATCAAAAAACCAAGAAATATAAGGCAAAAACAAGAGCTGAAAATTAGGAGGCAAATAAATGGGCCATCCTGTTCATTTCCACATCTGCATTTTGATGAACAGCACTTGCAATTATCCTTATGTTATGCTAACAAAGGTTTTTGCACCTGGTTTAGCAATGGGGTGATGGCATCATCGCAGCGATCTAAAATAAGCAGCAATGGAGGAACCTCAGTCCGCCGGAACTCAAATAGCTCATATTCTTTAGTTATGACTTGCTGTGGGTGAGAAAGAGTTTGGTCAACCAATTAGTTGCAGATAGCAATGATATAAATAGTAAATTAATACATAAAAACTACATTTAACAAAAGCTCTTTGCACCTTCATGGCCTTCCGTAAAAAAAACTTGATAAAGTTTAATAACATTCTATTTAAGAGGATAGAATTTGAAACTCTATTTCACAGGTAATTTGATTGGATCAAATTAAGTTAAATAGCTTGGAAATGTTTCTTAGGTTACACCTAAGAATTTTACCTTTAATTTGTTGCTTTTTTTGTTGTTATCATTGATACTTTTGGTTTTGAATTACAAAGACCTACTTCTTTGCCAATAAGCCTAACACCTCATCTCCTTGGTTGTAGATAAATATTCCTTTAGTTTTTGAAATATGGTGAGGAAATGAATGGTCATGATGTTTTGGAACCAGGCTAGGGAATGCCATACCTTAACACATTCGGCAAGTCTCTTTGCTGCCTCTGATGAAAGCTGATAACGAATCATAGGGCATTTCTTCAGGGATAAAAGGAGAGCCGTCAGTCCTTGAGTTGTTCTGGACAGCTGGGCTGGGTCCCAATTTCGACCCTTTTTAAATATTCAGAGAAAATATTTAAATTTTTTCTTATTCGCTGAATTAACTCCCACCTGATAACTAAAAAAAAAAAAATCCTTTCCTTCCATACCTGGCAGCAACCCAAAATATTGAGGGAAAACAAATGTGGATTCACAGCAATGTAATCACCATAAAATTCCTGCAAATAAAGCACCAAGATCAGCCAGTCAGATTCCATAAACTCCAACTATATCATGCAGCAATATTTTCACATGTGATATAGTCAAATTTGAGGAAATGTAAGTGTAAAAGATAGAACAATTGATCAATTAAAAGTTAACAAAAAGTCAATGTGGGGAAATTAATAAAATAATTATAAAACAGCAGCAATAATAAATCTTAAAAAAAAAAACCCACAAAAGTTATAGAAGTGTACATATTATATGCCTGGAGACCTCTAGGACTTATCAATTAGTAAAAATAAAATATTGCTATAGGGTATACAATGTTACACTCAAACGAAAAAGAACTTTGCTTTCCAGTGCATTCTCATGAGAGAGAATATGATTCAAAAGAGGTCATTCTTTTTTATTCATTTTTCATCTAGAATATCCAAAACTTGTTTATTTGTGGTCCTGAATACAATATTCTGCAATTAGCTGATAAATGTATTCAAACGTTTGTGATAAATGTATTGGAGAACACTAAACTATTTAAGAAGGGTAACATGATATGTTCTAATGTGATGTATTATATAGCATGTAGAATAAATATTTAGGAGTTTCCAAATTTTAACCTAATGACAAATGTCTGCTTATTATTCCCAAAGCAAGATAACCACAAACAGAACTTCAACAAACCCCATTCACATCCTTTACTTCCTATTCTATCCCAATTAAACTTGGTCCTAAAGATGAACATTCTTTTTTAAAAATATATTTTTATTGACTTCAGAGAGTAAGGGAGAGGGAGAGAGAAATATCTGTGATGAGAGAGCAGCATCGACCAACTGCCTCCTGCATGCCCCCTACTGGGGACCAAGCCCACAACCCAGGTACATGCCCTGACCCGGGCATGAGCTCTTGGTTTCTGGGTTGATGCTCAACCACTGAGCCAAACCGGTTAGGGCTAGATGAACATTCTTATAGGGTGGCTCATAAAACTGTCATAGGACATTTTGATTCTGTCCCCAACCCTGTGAAACTCTTCCTACTAATAGTGGGATCCACTGACTCCTTTAATCTGTTCCCATCCAATTTGATATATCTTCCAAACTTTCTAAATATAAATATAGTCTGGTGCAATGCACATTGATTGTGTCTGATGAGTAGCCTCCATTCTTTTGAGACAGCACTTTCCCTACTTTTAGACTCAAATCTTTAGTAAAAAGGGCCAATATAAGAGACGAGTTAGAGGACCAATATGTTTACCTGAACCTCAGCCACAACTTCCTGTTCATCGGCTTCAGCTAATGACTTCACATCACTCTTGCTGATCACATTACTGAAATCTGAAACAGACATATGAGTTATTATTGACTAGAAGGAGATCATCGTTGCTGCAATTAGACATAAATGGGCCTGACAGTTAAAGCCTAATGAATAAGGGAAGTTTAGTACACATTGTAGTAGATGTCAAAGATCGAACACCTTCAAATTGGAATGAGCAGCACAAAGATGTTTAAATCCATAGATTCATAATAGTAATTTTTTTTTAAAAAAAGGACCACCATTGTAAGCATTGTAGGATGGTAGGGAACCAAGTCTTATGGTGAAAATAGAAGGAAAGGGTAACATGGTAATAAAAAAAAGGGAAAGAAGTAAGCTTTTATCCTTTTATACATAAACTGTATCACCAGATAACCAAATAGTAGATGAGGGGAAATTTCTTTTTATAGAAATATTCCAGCTGAAAAATAAAGAAGGAATGATAATGATATGACAGAATTAAAACAATATTTTTTTTTAATATATTTTATTGATTTTTCACAGAGAGGAAGGGAGAGAGATAGAGAGTTAGAAACATCGATGAGAGAGAAACATCGATCAGCTGCCTCCTGCACATCTCCCACTGGGGATGTGCCCGCAACCCAGGTACATGCCCTTGACCGGAATCGAACCTGGGACCTTTCAGTCCGCAGGCCAACGCTCTATCCTCTGAGCCAAACCGGTTTCGGCTAAAACAATATTTTTATCAGCCCCTAATGAATCAATGGTTGGACCTAGGCATTGAGCATCAACCACTGCTAATATCACAGTAAGAGACGATCAGTGGAAGTACACCACACTACCTATGAAGTATTCTTGTCAAAAAGAAATAAAATCTGAGTCTAATTAAACCTCTACATCCAGGTACCAACTTACAGAAACTGGAGGTGAGAGGAATATTTTAAACTGCAAAGAGCCTGGCCCGCGTGGCTCAGTGGTTGAGCGTCTACCTATGAACCAAGAGGTCATGGTTCCATTCCTGGTCAGGGCACATGCCTGGATCTCCAGTGGGGATGTGCAGGAGGCAGCCAATAAATGGTTCTCTCTCATCATTGATGTTTCTATCTCTCTCTCTCTCTCCCTCTCCTTTCCTTTCTGAACTCAATAAAACATATTTTTTAAAAAATAAACTGCATGGTGATACAATCAGCAAGATCCAGGCTATAGGAAACTTTAACAGAACAACCTGGTTTCTTCAATAAATAAATTGCACAGGAGAGATAACCAAGAAAAGAGCAAAGAAAATTAAACAGCTTATCAACCAATAGCAATGTGTGGACTTTACTATGATCCTGATTAAAACAAACCATGGGGGGATGGGGAGGGGGCAAGACGAGAGAATTTGAACACTGAATGAATATTTAAAAAACAAATTATTTTTTATTATTTGGGTATACTAGTAATGTTTTTAAAAACAAGTCCTTGTCTTTTAGAGATGCATAATGAAATATTATGGATAAAGTCATATTATATATTAGATTTCCTTCAAAATTATATTGGTGGGGGAGTAGGTGGTAGTAAGGCTAAAACAAGATTCGCCATAGCACAATAATTATTAAAAATTAAGTGATGGGTACATTGGAATTTATTATACTAATCTGTCTACTTGTATATATACTTTGAAAGGAGCCTGTTATACAAGATATTTATTCAGTAGACATAAAAATATAGAAAATTAAAATTATAAAAAATAATATGAGAAGGTAAGCTAAGTGCTAAAATAAACGTTGATGAAAGTTTGTAATAAATGAAATTACTATATACAAACATTTTCATTTATTTCAATCTAAATAACTAAATAAAATTGTGAAATTGATTGCTTCACCCAGGAAATTTCAATTGGCTTTAGTGCTAACCACTTTAATATATATGTTATGTAATTTTTTTCTTCTACTTCATATAGATTTACAGTTCAAATCAATCTTTAGAACCAGAAAAGTAAATATTAGATTTATTATTCCTTATTAATCTTAATTGCTGCATCAAAGAACTCTCTTTAGAGGAAAAAGGAGCCTTTTACCTCATGACCTATTTCATTTTTAGCTAAGTGATACAGCAAAAGAGTGATTCTGTTAGATGTTCACTTACCTTTAAATTTGGTAGCACAAGGAATCAACCTGTCTCTATGCCTATCTATCTATCATCTACCTATCACTGAGTACAAAGTATCTACACTTTCCCAAGTATTTAGCTTGTGATAAGGCTAAAAAATACTGGAATGACTACACATTTATCAAGTGGCTAAAATAAAAAATAGGGGCAACACCAAATGCTTGTGAGAACACAAAGAAACTGGATCACCTGCACATAGCTGGCGGAAAAGTAAAATGGTATAGTTACTCTAGAAAACATGTGGCAGTTTCTTAAAACATCAAACATGCAGCTACTACATAACTCAGCAATTGCTCTCCTGGTTCATTATTTATTACAGAGAAATGAAGACTTATGTTCGCACAAACACATGTACACAAATGTTTTTAACAGCTTTCTCTGTAGAACTGGAAACAAGTCAAATGTCCTTTAAGAAGTGAATAGTTGCCCTGACCGGTTTGGCTCAGTGGATAGAGCGTCGGCCTGCGGACTGAAGAGTCCCAGGTTCAATTCCGGTCAAGGGCATGTACCTTGGTTGCGGGCACATCCCCAGTGGGGAGTGTGCAGGAGGCAGCTGAATCGATGTTTCTCTCTCATTAATGTTTCTAACTCTCTATACCGCTCCCTTTCTCTCTGTAAAAAAATCAATAAAATATATTAAAAAAAAAAGAAGTGAATAGTTAAACTGTGGTACATCTATACCACAGAATACTACTCAGTAATAAAAACTATTGATAGGTGGAACTTGAATTAAACTCTTACGCTGAGTAAAAAAAGAAAAAAACAATCCCTGAAGTTTATATGCTCTATGATTCCACTTAACCTTCTTGAAATGACAAAATTACAGAAATGGAGAATAGATTGTGGTTTCCAGGGGTTAATGAGGGGGTTGAGCGGAAGGGAAGTGTCTAAAAAAGGACAATACAAGGGATCCTTATGGAGATGGAATGCTTTGTATCCTGACTGTATCAATGTCAAAATTCTGGATGTGATATGGTATTATAGCTACCTAAGATATTACATGGGGGGAAAGTGGGCAAAGGATATACAGGATTTCTATATTAGTCTTATAACTATACTAGAGTCCCAGTGCGTGAAATTCATGCACCCGGTGGTGGAGGGAATCCCTCAGGCTGGCCTGTTCCCTCTTGCAATCCAGGAGCCCTCAGGAGGCACTGCTGCGGAGGCGGGAGAGGTTCCTGTCACTGCCACTGTGCTCACCAGCCGTGAGCCTGGCTTCTGCTGAGCAGCGCTCCCCCTGTGGGAGCACACCGATCACCAGGAGGCAGCTCCTGCATTGAGTGTCTGCCCCCTGGTGGTCAGTGCACATCATAGTGACCAGTCGTTCCACCTTTTGGTCAATTTGCATATTAGCCTTTTATTATATAGGCCGTGAATCTACAGTTCTCTCAAAATAAAATGTTTCATTAAAAAAGAAAACCCGTGCCCTATGTGGTTTGGCTCAGTGGATAGAGCATCAGCCTGTGGACTGAAGGTCCCGGGTTCAATTCTGGTCAAGGGCACATTCCTGGGTTGCAAGCTGGGTCCCCAGTAGGGGGGGTGCAGGAGGCAGCTGGTCAATGATTCATTCTCATCATTTATGTTCCTATCTCTCTCTCTCCTCTCCCTTTTTCTCTGAAATGAATATATATATATATATATATATATATATATATATATATATATGAAGGAAACCTGTGACTATTAGTCAAAACCAACCAACCAACCAACCAAAACAAAAGTAAGAACACTGAAACTAATAAAATTACGTATTTTTACCTCTTGGGGTTGTTTTAAGGGCCAAATGAAATAATATATAAGAAAGTTCTTTATAAAATACAAACTCTTATCACAAATATTAATTTTTGGTACCATTGTTAAATTGTAGTATATGCTGAAGAAAGTATGTATAACACAGACTATAGTCTAAACCCTAAAACTCCAAAGTCTTCAACTTCTCAAATGCCCTACATACTGAGTGTTAAGTTTTTGTCCTTGGTTTTAGAAATGGCACAAATAAACTATAAAGATCAATAACGACATCTAGAGGAGAAACCATGTAACTGCCAAAGCAGAATGTATTACATTTAAAAAAAATCAAATCTGTATAATGGTATAATAACCACAAAACTAGTTTGTTTCCAGGCCCCTACTTCTCTATCCCTGGCCCCACCCACCACCACCACCAAAGTTAGGCACATAAGAGATACCTACCTGATGACTTGTACTTAAAGTACTACATAAAGTAGCAACGAGAAGTGAAATGTTTTTATCTGGTATGTAAAGTAAATCTCTGCCTTTCCAACAAACTCAAGTATATCCTCTCTCCAAGTAAACAAATTAGCTTCTATGCCTCAGTTCATAAAAATGTGAAACAGGAATAAGAATACACTTTGTGAAAATTGGCTACTAGTACTTATGACTTCTTGCCTTACAAAGAATTTTAAAAGGCAAAGTTAAACAAACTTTTTTTTTTATCCAAGCAATTAATGGTGAATGGAAATCACATTCAGCTTTCTGAAATAGAATGTTGCTTATAAGACTTTTAAATTTTGAAAGAACATTAAAAAAAACACAGACATTTTTAGTGAAAGATTCAATTAACTTATTGATGATACAAAGAGACCAACAGAACATTCTAGCTAGGTTATAGTTATATGATTGAATAGGTGAAATAACATACTTACAAATAAAATATATACTGTATTTGGGTCTTCGGAGCTCCTGAATCAGATAATCCACATTCTCCTAGAAAATAACAAACAAACAAATAAAATATGAAAATTGCTTCAGTGAAAAGTTAATAAACATCATCTATTGATTTATTTAAGTATTTACTGAGAGTCTACTGTGTGCTGAGGTCTAGAGTAAGTATATATATGTTGGGAGAGTGAAGGCTGGGGATGAAAAAGAAATATATTAAATATAATGATAAAGAATCTGCCCTAACCGGCTTGACTCAGTGGATAGAGCATCAGCCTGCAGACTCAAGGGTCCCAGGTTCGATTCCAGTCAAGGACATGTACCTTGGTTGCGGGCACATCCCCAGTGGGGAGTGTCCAGGAGGCAACTGATAGATGTTTCTCTCTCATTGATGTTTCTAACTCTCTATCCCTCTCCCTTCCTCTCTGTAAAAAATCAATAAAATATATTAAAAAAAAAAAAAAGAATCATATGTATGCCCTAACTGGTTTGGCTCAGTGGATAGAGCACCGGCCTGTGGACTGAAGGGTCCCAGGTTCGATCCGGTCAAGGACATGTACCTTGGTTGCGGGCACATCCCCAGTAGGGAGTGTGCAGGAGGCAGCCGATCGATGTTTCTCTCTCATCGATGTTTCTAACTCTCTATCCCTCTCCCCTCCTCTCTGTAAAAATTCAATAAAATATATTTTTTTAAAATAAGAATCATATGTAATTTTAACTAGCTGTGTTACATTGGCCAAATTAAGACTAAAAATATATAAAGAACACAAATGTTGAAATAACACATAAAATTGATAATTCTGCAAATGTGTCTCAAACTGCTTGTCTATAAATTATTATATTCATCTATCAAAATTATTATAGAGTATCAAAACATGTCTAGTCCTTTTAAAACCCATAGTCAAGATAAAATATAGCTAATTATATTTGGCTTTTAACTTATTGGGACCTAAGACTGCACAGCTTCAATGTTTGGGAAGTATTTGCAAATAGTAGGCTAAGATCCTTTTTATAATTACATTATTTTAAAGTAAAATATGAAATTTAGAAGTAAAACAGTTGATTTTTATATGGTCAAAACATTATAATTCCCGTTATATAATATTATAATGCAGGTCTTATCTATTTTTGATAGTATAACACAGGGTTAAATTTCAGTATAAATTTGGTCCCCAAACTGTACATGACATATCATTTTTTAATGTTAAAAAAACCAGTTTCCTTACAGAATTAAAAGTAATGTAAGCAACCCACATTGCTTGTTAAGTGGAAAAAATATTTTGAAAATTGTCATTTAGATTAAAAATATCTTAAAAAGTAACCTTATAATGGAATCTTAAGGAAAAATTGCTTTTAAGAACATATATTGAGTATGAGAGACTATATACATATATATACATTCATATACTCTCACATATATATGTGTGTGTGTGTGTGTGTGTGAAAGAGGTTCTCCAATAAAAATGTTAGGAAATGATGCACTAGGTGATCTCTAAGATCCTTCTCACAACCTGAATGTTATGACTAAGATTTACAAATGTGAAACAACTGGGAACTATTATAACACAGTATTCATTAATTCAGGAATGGCTTATTGAGTATACACTATGTGGCAGGCATTGGAGACATAATAGTGTGGCAAAACAGACCCATCTCTATTCTCATGAAGCTTACTGTTGGTAGGTGAGATAGATATTAATCAGACAGAAAATATAATACTTCAACCATGACAAATAATAGGGAGAGGAAGATGGTGCTGTAATGCTTATAAGAAGCGGGGTTGACCTGGTCAGCAAGGCCAGGGAAGTTTTGCTTGCAGTGAAGAAGTTCCCAACAGAGAAGGAGCCTGTGCAAAGGTCCTGTGGCATGATGGAATATAGTATACTGAAACATTAGTGTGACTAAGAGCAGAAGGGGGAATGGTTTGAAATGAGGCTGTAGAAATGATAGGAACTAGACCACACAGGATCTTGCAGACCACAATTAGGAGTTTTGTCTTTATTGTAAAAGTAATGAGAAGTCATTCAAGGTTTCCAAGTGGGGAGAACATGATCAGATTTGTATTTTGGAAAATACATAATGTACAAGCATGGTAAAAGAGTATATTGAAGAACAGGAATATAAAGTAAGAGAGTATACAAAATAAGATTGAAACAGTTAAGGGTTTTTAAAGGAGGACTTAAGCAAGATTTAGATGTTGGACAAAGACTGATGGAAGGCTAAAGAATCTCTAATGAGGGCAAGAAAAGAGAAATGAGAGTATAGGGATGATACAAAGGCCTAGTGGCTATAGTGGAGGAGCAGAGGTGGGACACTGGAGTTTGGATACCTAAGGGCAGACCAGACCAGTTAAAGGAGTGCTTTGCGGACTAGGCTACTAAATATAGATTTAATCATAGAAGTAAAATTGAGCCATTACAGGTTTCGGAGCATAGATGTGAAGAAAATGATAAAAACTCAAAACATTGATATAAGTATATAAGATTAAGTGGCAATGCTATTTAGTGAGAGGAGGTTAATCCAGGAATAAAGTGATGTGGGTCTCTGTGAGGGTAGTAGCTTTGAAAGTAGCTGAGAACCTAACAGACATTTTGAAGGAAAACACTGGCTGTAAGGAGTAAACTGAGATATGGGAAGGAGGAGAGTCAAGATTTTAACTCTGATAAACCAGGATAATTACGATGCCACAAATGATAATACAAATTTATTTTGCCTTCTTAATGCCTTGAGATCATAGCGTTCTGTATTTGCCTGGGCAGATGGCAGTTCAGTATGTAGTACCTTCGTAGGTCGAAGAAAACAAATTGCTTTCAGGTGTTTCATGACCTCCCGATTCGCGGAATCAATGCGTTCAAAAAGGTACACTTCCTTCTGAAGAATCTCTGATTGTGTGTATACCATACTCACTATACCAGTCTGTAAAGAAAAAATAATTACTAATATTATGATGGTCCAGAATAATAAAAACAAGCAACAATACCCTAAGGCTTAAACTTTTTCTTTCATTACTATTTAACTGGATACCTTAAGTACTAACATATGTAATAATATTTACTGAGCATCCAAACATGTATGTAATGTACCAGAATGCTCTCTGTAAACGTGGACAATCCATACATGCCTCCCTCCATTTTTCTATCACCTTAAAAGAGGTGTTTTAAAAAAAAAAACTGCGATTAACAAATAATAAATAACCTGTCATCTCAGCTTGAGCTCCAACATTTTTACTTTAAAAACACAGTGTTGCCCTAGCTGGTTTGGCTCAGTGGATAGAGCATCCGCCTGCGGACAAAGGGTCCTGGGTTCGATTCCAGTCAAGGGCACATGCCTGGGTTGCGGGCTTGATCTCCAGTAGGGGGAGTGCAGGAGGCAGCCTATCAATGATTCTCTCTCATCATTGATGTTTCTCTCTCTCTCTCCCTCTCCCTTCTTCTCTGAAATCATTAAAAATATATTAAAAAATAAAAATAAAAATAAAAACACAGTGTTGAGTAGAAATAACAGGATCACCCCAAAGAGGGAAAAAAAAAAAAATCTCTGGCAGTGGTTAAAGCCATTTAGTCTGAAAACCGACTGGGCAAGCTGAACACAACCTTTCAATTCCGTACAGAACCGACCCTCCTTTAAAAATCTTTAATTGAATACCAAATCCTCCAGTGGAATGTGACCGGCTATCGTCAGGGAGGGAGGACTCCCGCACGAACCCTGAGCAGAAGCAAACTCACCGTCTCTTTATCCATGAGCAGCACTTTCATGCCCGGCCCGCTGTCCTCTATCATTTTGGAAATGTACTGCTTCACAGCCAGAACCACGTTCATGGTGGCGAACTGACAGGTGAGCCCCACAGCCCTTCCCGCCCCCTTTTCTTCTGGCTACATGAACCCCCGGCTTCTCGGCCAGGCCTCCGCCGCTTCCTCCCCGCCCAGCCTCGGCTTCCGGAAGTCCGGGCAGCCGCGCTGCTGGGACTTGTAGTTCCGCCGCGCGGTCGGGAGCACCGGGCCTGCGCGTCCCGCGGAAAAGCCCGGCGGAGACGCTGGGGCCGCCCGGCCCTGACGGGGCTGTTGACCCCCCTGCAGCCTGCAGGTGTGGGAGACTTGCACTCGCAGACCACGGGCGTCCGGGCCGCGGTCTGAGCCCTCCTGCTGCCTTGAGGGGGGAGGGTGGCGCCTCGAGGGGTGAGGGCACTTGGCATAAGGCCACCTCCGAGGCAAGAACGGCGCGTGGCGGTGGTTACTCTTCGCCATCCATGAACGCTGCCTTGGATGGCAGTGAAGGGCGAGGGGAAGGGAGATGGCGTTGTGCTCCCGGCTGCTCGGGACTCGGAGGCACGGCGCTTGCTAAATGGTGGCGGATCTCAGCGTCACGGGGTCCTTGGGGCGAGGACAGTGCCCCAGCCAAGTGAGGCCCGGATTGGGGTTCCGAGGACCGAGAGCATCTGAAGTGGAACGAATGCTCGTTGAATGAATGAATGAATGAATGAATGAACGAAGGGGCCGCCCTTTCGGGGTGGTTTGGGGGAGGCCTCATCTCCCAGGAGGGTCTGCCCTGGCGTCGGCCGCGGGGACTCGCCACTCGCGCGCGCAGCCGAGCCCTGAGCGACCCCGGGGTCCGCGCGCGAAGCAATTGGACGCCGCGGCTCCCGCTGCGGGGGGTGAGCGGGACCTGCGCCCCGGATCCCCGTCGGAAAGGGGGCGGGGGTGGGGTGGCGGGGGCGGCACGTATCCGCTGGGGCTAGCTAGAACGAAGTAGCCTTGGGATTTTAAGGGAAAACTCACACATTTTGATTTAAGAAACCACAAAAACCTGACAGCAAAATAAATCTTAAAGCCAACAACTTCACAAAACCCGCATTTGGGTTTATATCCCGCAGGTGTTCTCTCCGCACCGTTTGTCCCTATGGAGGGTAAATGTTAGTTTCCCCGCACCTAAACGGGGGAATTGTGAAATCGGGAGAGGTAGCAAGAAACAACTGCGAGAAATCAGCGACTGTAAATGCTTGTAAATATCTCCATCAAAACAATGACCAGTGTTTGTCGGGGTCAGTGTAATCAATAGGTTGGTTCAAAATGACCAAATCAGTCATCCTTTCATTGAATTGTAAGGAGTATGTAATTAAAACTAGATCCAGAGCACGTTAACATTAATCTGGCTGTTAAGATTGCTTTATAAAACGTGCCCTGCTGGTGTGGCTCAGGGGTCGAGTGACGACCTGTGACCCAGGAGGTCCCGGTTTGATTTCTGGTCTGGGCACAGGATGGGGGCTTGGTCGCAGTGTGGGCCCTGCAGGAGGCAGCCAATCAATGGTTCTCATTCATGTTTCTCCTCCCTTCCTCTCCGAAATCAATAAAAAATATATATGTTTTTAAAAGATTGCTTTATAAAACGTTATACACAATTTTCAAATCCTTTAAGGCAAATTAGAAGCCACTTGAAATACAGATTTTTGTCACTGAGATTGTGAAGAAGGTGTTTATTTTCTCTCTTGGTAAGTTTTATTACCAAGTAAAACTTCCCATTGGGCTTTTTTTTTTTTTTTTTTTTTTGAGATTTGTTTTGAAAGAGAAGTTATAGTAAAATGAAAATATAAATATTTAAATGGATACAAACGAGAAAAATCTAAATCTACACAGAAGATACCCAATAAATATTTAATGTTGGTGAAACTCATTACTGGGTAAACTGCTACCGTGGCACGTTATTCGTTTAAAATGTTCATATATTATAGAAAACAGAAAACCCCAATGCTAATGAAAAATGAAACACCTGCAAATTCTTTAAGTTACTGATATTTGAATTCACCTCCACTCACCTGTCACTGGGTTTTTGTTTTTTCTTACCTGTAATTTGGACTTCAATAAGATTGTTTTCCTTTGACAAATATCTCAGTTAACTTTTGTAACGTTCCTTCGAGTGAGTATTACCTCCATATTACAGGAGTTCCAAGAAGTTGAATAATTTTCATGAGGTGACAGAAAATAGCAAATAGAGAAAAGCAAATCTTTTTCAGTGGGCATTTTACCATATGTTTCTTTGTATAGATTGTTTTCCTATTTTTTAGAAAGTACATTGTTACTTCTTTGAGGAGAAAGAATGTGGTGGTTTTGCCCCCCCGAACCCCCCCATCCTTTTCACTAGTGCAGTGCCCTGCACACAGAAGATACCCAATAAATATTTAATGTTGGTGAAACTCATTACTGGGCAAACTGCCACAATGGCATGTTAAATAAAGCATAGAGTTTTACATGCACAGAACAAACAAAGAGATCAATATACTTACCTAGGTGATTCATACCAATCATTTTATTGAATAATATGGAATAAGTTCTGGAGAAATATCATGGGTTTTCTTTCCAAATTCCTAGGTAAATTATAAGAATGTAGACTTGACCGTTACTAATGCTCTTTTAACAAATAGCATGACATTTGTTTTTTTCTGATTATCTGCTAGTAGTGATTAAAGAGAGGATCAATTTTGTAGAATTGTTGAGTAAGAATTTATTGAAAAAGCATCCGATTTAGAAAGTATTTCATTTACACTTGAATTTTTTCAGTACTCAGATAGAGGGCGTCCTTGGACCACCAAGAAGGCTCTTTGTAACTGGTTGCTGGCTCACTGCGTAATGGTTACATGAATAAGGGAAAATACCTTGTTTTGGCCAAAATAGATGATTACAACATGTTTGTTTAATATCGAGTTTAACCTTTTCTTAGCTTTAAGTCTTATTGAACTGTTGCATAAAGAGACTGCATTATCATTTTTTTTTTCATTTCTGAACACCAGAATCTATGCTTATACCCAGAACACTATACTTCAAATGGCAGTTTTCTGTTTATGACAAAATATAACTGGGTGTCCCCCACAAAAAATGTATGTACACTTTAACAACTGATAGCTCAATTTTGAAAATGAAATGTATTTTAATAAACACTGCCTTTATTCAAAGTATGTGTATGCATTTTTTGGAACACCCTATATAATTAATAGTGAAATTGTTTTTTCTCTTTAAATTTCAGTGACTAATGAAAGGATAAAATAACATCCAGACTCACCACAGCTAATTTAGGAATAACATTGGGAAATTAGGTTTTTTTCCTTCCTGGGGATGTAATAATTTAAACGCAGATGCTACAGAATGATTCAATTCCCTGTCAGAGGAACACTCAGTTTAGAGCGGAGCTTGATTGAATGAAAGAATACGGAAGTGAGAGCCAGGTAATCTGATTTATAGTATATTTTACTACTAATATCTGGATGAACTTCAGAAATGATTTATGCTCACTAGTACACTGTCTTTCAAATGAAGGAAATGGACCGGAAAACCCCGGTTCATAAATCTATGAGTGTTAATTTTTTTTTTGTATAGAGAAGTCATTCTCTTTGTTTTGTATCTGCATACTGTACATGTCTTGTTCAATTTCTGAGAGCAGCATCCTCCTATACAATAAAAGCGTAGTATGCAAATTGTCCCCTCCACTGGGAGTTCGACCAGGGGGCGGGACACCAGGGGATGTGCCAGCTGATACTCTAACCACTTCGACAGGGCGGGGGTGGGAAGGGAGGGAGTACCTGGCCGGCAGCCAGCAGCCACTTAGGGACCCTACCAGTGGGGCCTCTAGTATTAATATAAATCTAACAACGTCATGATCTGCTTTAGCGCTGTCTGGAGCCCCCAAAATGGTGTAAGGTCAGGAATCATTTGTCTTTGACAATTCTTAAGAAAGGCTCTCCTTTATTCGCTATCCATGAATAGGTTCTTGGGGATAGCTTGTTTATTCCTTCTTTAATTTTGGTTCAAGCATTTCCTTAAGTGGGGGAAGAAGAAGGCTATATCTCCCTTCTTTAATTCCTGGTGGAGGGGTGTGGATTTTATCAACTTTTTGAGGGAAAACTGTACATAAATGTAAGGGCTGAATACCTCAGTGTTTCAATGTTTCTTTGCTTTCTCCTGTGGAGTATTTAGGAACTAATCCTTTCTGCAAGTAAAGTGATGGCATCAAGGCTTAAGACAAGAAAGAGGTAAAAGTAAAGAGAAAGAAAGAGAGTTTAAATTATACGTGTCTTATAAACATGCCCTGATGGGGGCCAGGATCAAACCTGCAACCCAGGTACATGCCCTTGACCATGAATCAAACCCAAGGCCCTTAGATGTGCCAGTTGACACTCTAATCACTTAACCACTCAGTCGGGGCTATGTGAATATTTAATGCCGCTATTTTTAATTGAGTTAAAACATCAAAATTGACACTTAACTTTCACAAAGTCATTTCTCTATGTGGTTCTTAGAGGAAAATGTCTACGTCACCTATCTAGACATCTAGTTCCTGACACTGGTTGCTAGAGGGTATTCTTTCTTTCAACAAGCATTTATTGAACACCTACTATGTGCTAGCCATGGAAGTACAACATTAAAACAAAACAGACAAAATTCCTAATCATGGAGTTTACAATCTAGTGAGGCCATTCAGACAAACACAATAAATGTTATGGTGGTGATAAATCCTATAGAGAAAAAACAGGTTTAAAGAAGGGAAAGGCAGGAGTATTGGAATGTGTAAGGTTTGCTGTTATAAATTGGGTGGTCAGTGAATCATTCACTGAGAGCAAAAACCTGAAGGCGTAAGGAATAAGCCACATGGTATCTAAATAAAGAACCTCCCAGGTAAAAGGAAGAGCAATTGCAAAACCGCTGAGGTGGAAGGCGCCTGTTCCGATAGCTGGAACTGAGGGGAACACTAGGGGAAAAGGGATAATGGGGAACAGTTTGTGGTGTGTGTGTTTGTATCTGAAAGCATTAGTATCCAAGGTATCTAAAGCGCTTTATAAAACAGGTATAATTTAAAATGGATAAATGTATGGAATCCTATGATTAGTAAGCTCAGTATGGAGAATATCTGATTTAAGAACAATTCTTAGGTAAAGGACTATAAG